ATGGAGACTCTGGCCAGCGGCAGCTGCGGCAGAAGTTTCGGAACCTTTTCGAACGTGAGCAGACGGACCGTTTCCTGCTGGAAATGCTGGACATGGGAGAGCTACAGAAGGTTCGGGTGCAGCATGACAACTCCGGTCTGAGCCCCGGCTGGCTGCTGGATCGCGTGGAAGTCACTAACACAGCTAATGGTGTCACCACCATCTTCCTCTGTGGGAAGTGGCTGGACACTAAGAGGGCTGATGGGCAGATCGCCAGGGTCCTTTACCCGAAGTACTAGATAAACTATTTATTTATACAAACTCACGTTGTAGAGAGATCTCCCCTGATGTTTAAAAGTAATGACCAAAGATATTCTGCTCTGGCAAGTTTTATATCTCAGGAAGTGAGACTGATTTTTACATTCAAAGTTTTATATTATTATTATATTATAGTTAGATGTTTAATGCTACCTGGAAATATAGCCTGCAATGAAATACTGTGACAACATCTTTTTGGTCAGGAAACTGAATGTGCCATTCTTTTTAAGTTTCGTATGTCAGGGATGGTTTGTTAAGTTGTTTTGTTATAATTTAGTTATTTTAAAATATTAAACTCTTTTACAGTACTCAGTAATTTTGTTTTCCTTGTTCATACAAGCAAAATCCAAACCTACAGAAGTTTATTTTAAAGCTGCATGAATACTGTCCTAAGCCCCTCCCACCAGAACGACTGGACATATGCATGTGCTTCATACAGTAACCCAGTGTTTTTCATACAGTGATTTAATAAATCTTACTTAATTGCAGAGTTGCACACAGTGCATTCAGTCAGCTGCTCTTTGCCCCGCTCTTTCTCTATTAATCAGACCACAAATGAGACAAGAATTAGCAGGTTAACATTAGCCACCACACCGTCCCTTCGCCTCGCTCCACGCCACTGCGGACTGCTTCCCTGGGAGGAGACTGCAGCAGCTCAGGAGATGGACCTGCAGTTGGTGGCTGTAGCACCTCGAAATAAGTCATCAGAACACCCCAACAATGGTTGCCATTGTGGGCTGGTAGCCAGCAACAGCGCCAGGTCTAAGCTGTTAGCTGATTCAGTGGGAGTCAGAGCTGTCCGGTCCCCTGGAACTGGGGTTTGCGCTGGCTGGAGTTAGGTTGCTGTGGCCGCTGACTAGGGGTCCATCTTCAGACCAGCTCTTGTCTCAGTGAGGTGGTCTGTAGTGGCAGGGCATGAGACAGGGGTAACACTGTGATTTGAAGGTTCTAGCTAACGTTAACTTCATAAATGTGAACTTGAAGCAGCTGCAATTAGCCTTTTGCTTTGGCTAGCAGAAGGCCAAACTATTAGAAGCATTTTCTCAACATTTCTTTAGCGATATTGCAATAAGGGTTGTTTTGTTTATTGTCAGACCCTATAACTCTCTTTTTGATAAGTCCGTTTTCCTTTTTGGGCTTTGCAGTGTAGGCAATTGTTGCCAATGCTGAAACAGCAACTTCCTCTGCACGGTTCTCTGCCATTGAGCCAGGCTTTCACCAAAGGGATGTGCATGTGTCTGCACTTGCAAAAAAAGTCAATACACACGCCCTCTCTCTCAAATGACCTGTGATTAGCCTCCTGTCATGGGCTAGATTTTCTAAAGCCTGAAAACAGAGTCAAAAGAAGGTGCAAAAACTTGTTTTATTTCAGGCCTCTTGAGTTACAATTTGTTCAGTTTATGATAGCATTTTTGCCCAACAAAGCCAAAATGATACTGCCCACCCCAGCTTCAACAACGATCTAAAGACTATTGGTGATATAGAATGGGTCACTCATAGTGACAAAGACCATGAAAATGGCTGCGTTTTTACTTTTTTCTTGTTTTACCTAACAACAGCTTCTTACATGTCATGGATTCAAATTATAACCATGTGTTTTCATCTGGAGGAAAGCTGAGGCCATATCATACCAGAATATAGAAGACACAAAAACAGGCACTTGTCGATTTTATCCAATTTATTACAAAAAGAGCACATACAAAAGGATAATATACAAGCCATGAAATAAAATTAAAATTAAAAAAAACAAAACAGAACAGTTTGGGTTTAGCAATGCAACTTTTGAAATCATTATCATTATTATTAGTATTAATAATAAATAAAGTACAAAATTCCACCACATGTGAATCTAACATTTACCCATAATATGCTCATCCATTTCTTCATTAACACACTCATCACCATTAATGCACTATTGCTTTAATATTAATGATAAATAGTTCTATTTTCAGATAAAATATCCTATATTGAAAAACATTGCGCAGTCACAGCTAAACAGCAGAATTTCATACGAGGATGGCGGCAGCCCTTTCACTGGCACTTTTTGGGATATTTTCTCTTCAGTTTTGTTTTTCAGTTTCAAACAGCGACAAAATTAATATTTTTTTTCCTGTTATATTCTTTGTATATATTTTCACCATATACTATTAAACCATTGAGACTATATTGAAACCTGAGAAAACATGCATTTTTAGAAAAGGTTGTGCTTTAAAATCCTTGCCTTCCTTTACGACTGTGAAAGGAAACAGAGGATAGATTCTGAGAGGAGAGATGGACGGTAAAATAAAAAAACAAATGAAGAGTTGGAAATAGAAGATAAAATTAAAGAAGGATTACTGAAGTTGTTGTAAAGCCCACAGTGAAACATGCCTCTTTATAGTCAGAACTATTTCCACAATCTGTATCGTTCCAGTTCTACAAACGAAAAGCTAGTCTGGACAGTTTGATTTCAATTTTGAGTATAATGGCTTTTGCAGACATCTGTCAAATGCTGTCTTCACAACTCACTCTTTAATTAATTGTGCAACCAATAAGGCATGGTGGCTTCATGGACTGATTGTTATTAATGGTTTCAGTAACATGGAAATATCTCCTAACACTTAAAGCGAGGCACTTGTTATGTCTACAAACTGAAGAGAAACACCAGAGAAAATGGAAATTAAAAGATACAAAGAGTTAAAGCGAAGGAACATGCTTCACAGATGATCGTTTTTAAGACCCATAGTGCATTGTGAGAAGCAGAGCATACAAAATAAAAGCCAGAGTCCTTAGTGTTCATATTAAATTATCTAAACTAACTTTTTTGCCAGTGAGAGGGTTCCCATATTTTAACAAGTGAGTGCAAAACAAAAAAAAATCACTTCATTGCAGTTTGTCCACTACATAACAGCATGGGGGATCAGAGAAATTGCATTGAATGGAATGTAACCAAGATCCACAGCACCACATGAGAGAGAGAAAGAGAGAGACAGAGACTAAGGCCCAATCCCATTTCTTATTTTTACCCATACACCTTATTTTCAAGAGCCCCTTGGCCCCTCGGAACAGAGTCACAAGGGGTAATGGTTGAAATCTTCCCCTATCATAATGGGAAAACCATTAAAGACCCTGATAGGCCGTCAGCATCATCATTGATGGCAGTTAAGTAAACAGATGTGACTATGGCAATAACGGTTTTATTACAATGACCTTTGTCATTTATCAAATGAAGACAGAAAAGCATGGAAGCTTGCAATTAGCTCACAACTTCAGTTTCATGCTATCAATTATTTAAAGAAGTAATCGAATAGAAAATAACACTGCTTCATTACCAGGCCACAAGCAGAGCCCTGTAGGCTAACGTTAGCAACCCTTGCTCTTATTCTGCCAGCCAGCATTAATACAGGAGGAACAGTAACAAGTGCAGGAACCTCACTGCTGGAGTTTAGTTAAATTTATGGTGTCATATGCTATCAAAGGGGGGGATGGGACATGGAAATATGTCAGAATGCAAGACTGTCATGTACAAATCAGCAATAACAACGTAACATTAGCTAGCTAGCTAGTCAGCTACCGAGACATCAGCGTACTACTAACGACTTATTTTATGCTTGTTATACAGAAAAGGACCATAATACATCAAAGCAACATTAAACTAAGATAATACAATAGTTACTGTCACTTTCAAATCTTCATTAACGAAGAAAATATATGTGTGAGTTTGTTTGGTTGCTCATACAGCCATTTTGCCAATGATTTGTAATATCGCAGATTGGAGTGTGCTTCTGAAAAACCTCCATTTGGAGGACCATGTAGCCCTTAGGGCCCCGACACACCAAACTGACAGTCCACTGTTGGGCAACATCTGGCCGTCGGTGGGCATCTGCCCCCTTGTGTTTGCGGTGTGCCCCACACTGTTGGCACTAGTCAGCCCTTGTTGGTTTCTTTTTCAGCCGATTCAGAATGTTGACTCTGTGTCAGAGACAGCGAAGACCATCAGTTTATAAAATCACTCTGATTGGCAGTTAGACTCAGTGCACAAGAAGAGTTTAACAGAAGTGAGGAAAGTAAACAAATTACTTAAGTCAAGAGGGTGTGAGATCAAACCTAACTTTTTAAGTAAGGTAAGATAATTTTTTAGCCATTGAGCTCTTTAGCAGAAACAATTCGTAATTGTTTGTGTTATTTTTCACTGGTGCATTGTAAATATAATTTGTTCTTTCGACATGGGGTAGTGTCTCTAATGTGCTAACTGGCTAATTAGCATCTTGAATCTCTCCTGTTGGTCTTTCGGGTTCCCTTTTTGAATGATGAATACAGACTACCGACGTCAGTCTAGTGTGTCTGGGCCTTTTACACTTTACCCTATCCCTCTATCTCAACAAGAAACAGGACACCCTACCCCTTTACGTGACCGAGCAAAATGGAGGAGTAGAGCTAAGTGGTCGGGGCAAGAGGTGTATTGGGATTGAGCCTGAAAGAGAAAGAGAAAGACAGAGAGCGGGCTCAGTAGCTCAGCCTTGGACAGTAAACATCGCACAGCCAGCTTGTGGAGATCAAACAGCAGGGCTCTTTTTTTCATAGACTTTAGTGTTCCAAAAAGTACAACTGCATGCAAAGCATTCCCATTTAAAACAATGCAAAAATGAGGTAATAGTTTTTTTCATAGCATTTTTGTGTTATTTCTAAATAAATAAATTATGATTCAGTCACCCCCCTCCCACCCCCTCCCAAAAAAAACTATATAAAATTAAATACATACCAACAATATCTACAGTTAGTAATAAATTATGATTGTTAAATACTTAAGGCATCTCAACTGACAACACCCTGTGTAAACTATGAAAACTTCATCACGGATGACTCCACTACAGGAGGAGGCAGTGTCGACACTGGCAGTGCACAAGACAGGGAGAAAGTAATCCGAGTTAATTGATCCTCAACCCACGAGGCTTAAAGAGTCTCTGGACTTATCCTTTTCTATCACAGTGCGTAGGACAGAGAGGGTCCTAAAGGCATCCTGTTGAACAGAAATGACACAAAGGGTAAAAAAGAAAATAAAGAAGTGAAAACCAGTCAGAGCAAGTGTTAACAGCCTGAATGTTTTCCTGCTGTTGTGTCGTCTCATGTCTGTGTGCACTGCGAGAGGGAGGCTGCCTCCGTCTCACCACGTTCTACATGTTCTAGCAATACAGCATAGCAACCAGCATAGCAACCACGAGGGGAGGTCTGTCACACGAATACACAAGATCAATACGCAAGCTCCTTTCTCTGCTGAAACACTGCATGAATCTATACCTATATATAAACCAACGCAAATGCAATACCAAGGAAAAAACCTTTTGTTGCTATAACTATCATCACATGTGCTTGTTCTTTAGGCAATAAGGTAAACATCAAGAAGAGGATCCCATCGTTGCCACCAAAGGGGACAGGATGAACACACGCTACAAGTCAGGGGAGCAGCCACTGACACTTTTTTTTGTTTGTTTGTTGTGTTGAGAAGATAGTCACAGCTCAGATTAACTAAGTCATGCAAAGCCATCTCTGTACCTTTTAATATTGAAGAAACGCTACCGGAGCTAACAGCCCAAGTTGACGATGAAACATGCAAGTTTAGTACACACTGTTCTGCCACTGGCCCTGCGCCAGATGAAGATACAGGTACGAGGGCAGCTAAGTCTTCCTCCCACCTCACTCTGCAGTGCATGATAGTTTCCTTTTATCATCCCTATTTTTTTTTGGCTTCATGTTGTATAAGCGCTCCAGTGGCCATGCTGTTAACCTACAGCGATTTAACGACTAGTTGTTGCCTCGAACCCTTGAAACACACTCACATTTGCACTCTTTGAACATCCACACATTTGTTAGACACATTCTTGAAGTCACACACAGCAGGGCAGAGCACACACACACATGTGAACCTGCGCATCAGGTTCAAGCTACACCGTGACAAAAATGCATTTTGGTAAAAAACACTTTCTACCTATTTTTTTTTTATAGATTTTAAAACACACAACAACTCAGTCACTGGGCTCGGTTTTCCCACGGCAGTGAAAGAGACCTACTCACACAACACCATCTCACATGACACCAACCCAAGGTAAATGTACAACTGTATTGCAAAATGTCAAAGCTGCATGATAGAATTAAAACACTCAGCTAGCTGGTGCTTGTGCGCCCAAGGAAGCAACAGCGCACCAGATATCACTTGTTGGTTACTGCTACTCTACTACGACCACAAATGATCTTTAGGTAAACATGGCATCAGAGCATTTGTTAAGCTTTCTTGTGTGGCAGAATATTCACTTTGATTGAAGTGTGTTTGTAAAGAGAGAAATATATATATTTATATATATAGAAAGAGAGAAAGAGAGAGAAGAAGAGAGAGAAAGTAGCCAGCTCAGTGTGGGGTTATGTGTTTTCCACTGTCAGGACATTAAGTCATGGCTTTGAGGACATGCTACACAGCCCGGGGCTACCTACAGTACAACACCACAACAGCAACAACACCCCACTTACGACCAGCAAGCTACAAGTAAACCCTGTGTACATGAGTATGTGTGTGTGTCTGCGTGTCTTTTGCCTCCAGAGGGATGTGCTTCTATATAAAGAGAGTCCTCTGCGGCCTCTCGTGCAGTTAGTTATCCTGGCTTGGCTCAGTAAAGCGTGAGTCAGAAGGGTGGTGATGTCACATGAAGTCTGGAGACATTTGGCAAAGCACCCAACAGGGGGGAGGAGGAGGAGGAGGGCCGGCAAGCCGGGGTGGAAGAAAGCAGGAACCACACAAGGGTGATTGACAAGGAGGGGAGAGGGGTGCTGAAATCTCATCAACTGTCAGGGTTCAGCTGTGTTTCGATGTCAACCCGACAGATCGGACACTTCCTGCTGGTGGCCAGCCACTGGTCCACGCAGCCCTGGTGGAAGAGGTGCATGCAGGGCAATCTCCTGGAGGACAGAGAGACAGAGAGACACAGGGTCAATGTTGATTCACACTGACTCTCCCTGTGCAATAGAGTTATGTGCTTGCAAAGAACTTCTGAAACCAGCAGGGAGTTAATTTTGTTCATTCAGGCACGTAGAGGCGACTTCTGTTGAGTCATCAATCCTGCACGCCTCTCAGACAGCTGAGACTCCACACGCTGTAAACTGACCCTCTTTCCTCATCCCAGGGCACTGGGGATTTCACACCACAGCTTGGTCTGAAATGCGCGTGTTGGTGCACATGCTCATGTCACTGATTTAAGAACTAGTTCAACATTTTTGGAAAATACGCTTACTTGCCTTGTTAAATGAGAAGATCAATACCACTCTCACATCTGTTTGTTAAATATGAACCTAGAGCCAGCACCCAGTTAGCTTAGCTTAGCATAAAACTGAAAACAGGTGGAAAGAGCTACCCTGGCTCCGTCAGACTATTACAAAATCCACCTACTAATTGTGTAACCTATATGGGTGTAATGATACAGATCTGGTTTGATATTTATGGATTCAATGATCAATATTATCAGTGCAAAGTGAAAACATTGATCCATATCATCATCTTTAAGATATGCCTTGATTTTGAGGATTGGCTGTGAGTTAATGGTTCTTGATATATTTAGCATTTCCTGTTAACAGTAGATGTTCACTGGGTCGAGATCTTATTTACAAGTTATTAAAGGAGCAGTCTTACATTTTTGGAAAATATGTCAGGCCACCATTTAGTGAAGCATTAGATGAGAAAGTAAATATCACTCTCATGTCCTGCTGAATATAAACTACAGCCAGCAGCCAGTTAGCTTAGCTTAGCTTAGCACAAAGTCTGGAAACCGGAGGAAACAGCTAGCCCAGCTCTGTCCACAGGTAACACAGTCAGCCTACCTTTAAAGCTCAGTAATTAACATTCAGTCACTTACTTTATCAATCTTCTCCTCTATGTCTATGCCAGCAAGCAAATAGCGTATTTCCCAAAATGTCAAACTTTTATTTTCAGCTTATTTCCTTTTCAGAGAAGTGGATTTTTTGTGGTAAAACCAGAATTCTAGGGGCTACTAATCATTTCTGACCTGACGTCCTCTCCGTCTTCCAGCATTGACAAACAGATGGTACATTTCTCATCCACATCTGTTTCCTCCTCCTCCCCAATCTTCAGCTGCAGGGGCTTTCTCTGTTCGCAGGTCAGATTACACAGAGGTAAAAAGGTAGGGTCAGAAAAGTGATTGTAAAAAATGGGAGTATATCCAACAGTGCATGTCTCTGTATGTTAATAACATCCAGTAATTTTTGTTATCTGTCCTACCTTCTTGTATTTATGTGGAAAGGTGAATCTCTCTATGGTTGTCTGAACAGCTCCTCTGCTGACACTCCCCAGCCGGTCCTCCAGTTGCAACAGCTCCTGAGGAGAAGTCCACATAAGTTAAGAATATAAAACTTGAACAGCTACTAAATGGACTAAATGGTGTTGTAAAACCAGGGTGTTCAAGGTCAACAGTGAACTGAAAAGATAATCCACAGACCTAGGTGTGAGCAGTTACATGTAGGAACTATTTTCTCTTTACTGCACTACATCCACAACTGCATGAATGCGCAGAAGGAAGCGTGCATCTACTACTAGCTCACCTAGCACCACTGAGCTAGCTAACGTTACAGCTCAGACAAGGAGGGCGCCATTAATGTTTGCAACTTGCACTGTCACTAGCATGAGCCTCTTGTCCATGAGTAGATGCACACTTCCTTCTGCGCTGTGATATGTTTGGCAACTGTAGTTTGGTAAAGAGAAAATAGTTCTCACATGCTCACAACAAGGTCTGTGGATTATCTTGAGTACCCGGGTCATGATTTCTGGAAAGAGACATTGCTGTTGAGTTTTTCAAATGTAATTTTTGGAGCTTTGAGCACCTCCAGCCGAGTGCCATCTAGTTCCATTATAATTGAAAGAAGGCAGACATCTCAACAGCCGATATCTCCAACACTCAGCAACTCAAACCAAAACAATCTAGATGGATAAGAAACACTACAGGTAAGAGGAAAAATATGTATTTTTGATTTTGGTGTTGGCAGTCCCTTTAACGTGCACTTTTTTGCAGCATCTATCACTCCACAACAAGTGAGCCTAAAGGAGATCATGGGATATGATCAAAAGCACCAGAACAGGCACTAAATGGAATTTGAGGTGAGATTATCTGAGGCTCTAACAGACGGATGGGTAGAAAGTCTATGAACTTGATTTGGAGAAAGATTTACCTCATAACTTTCTCGCACAGCGGTGGCATGCCTTGAAGGATTCAGACTTTGCAGTGCCAACAGGTGCAGCTGTGGGTACGGGTAGTTTCTGATTTCATGCACAACCTAACAAAAGAGAACTCTTTGTCATATTACAGCAATATAAGAGTAGTCGAACACAGTTTTTCTCCATTGTTTTGATGCATCTTTGGAAATACAAGACATTTTTGAGAATACTGACAGGTAATACAAACCAAAAAAAACAAAACTGTGATTTTCTTTTCAAAACAGCAAGAGGCGAGACCAGAAGTGCATCAGATCGATGCAGGATGTCTACAGGTATCAGACACTTAAATTTAAGGCTTTTTAAGACTTTTTCAAGATCATTTTTAACCAAATTTTAAGGCTGCCTTTGGACAAATCATATTTTTCTTATAGTATAAAGGTAAATAGTATATGTAGTACCATGCAGAGCTACGTTTTATGTAAGATTATGGTTATTAGAGTGAGGTGGGATAGTAAAACATAGTGCAAGCGTAAAATAAGGTTTAGCGGTTTGAAGATTTGTAACATCAGAAATCTGGACTTTAACGCAGAAGAGCTTGACACATTTTGACAAAAAATTAAAAGATGGCTAGATGGATTTAGATTAGATCAAATGTTTGTTGCATTTGAGACTTTTGAATTTAAGACATTTTAAGGACCTGCAGACACCTTAATTTAAAGGTCAAGATATATTTAAAAATGATGATAAGTAAATTTGCATTACAAAATAGCAGGGTGACCGACATACCACTTGTGCAGAGGATGTGTTCCTGGGGAAGTGGTGCATTCGAGGGGAGGCCAGGTAATGCTGATAGTGCTGCGGAAGCTGCTGGAGCTGGTACTGGTGGTGAGGGAGGCCAGCATCAACGCTGAGATCCCTGAGGGCAGGCAGACAAGAGACTAAATCAACATCATCACCCATGCTAGGCAATGTGACACACAGACAGATGGGCGTAAAGATGAAAGGACGGTATCATTTCACGACTCTACAGGACTCTCGTTAATCTCCGACAGCGACTCACCAGTCGGTGCCTTCGGCCAGGTACCGCTGCTGCTGTGTCATTGGCTGAGGAACATGGAGGGGAGGGGAGTACTCATAGCCTGAGCGCAGTCGGTGAGGGTTCAGGGGTATACGGTCCTGGGTTCTTCTGCAGAAGGACGAAGATGAGATTTTAAAAATGTTTGACAAGGTTTATTAGTTTGTGTGTATCTGTATTTGCATGCAGGTAGCAATTATACCTGGAGTGCGGGAGAATCCTGCGGTGCTGCGCTTCAAGAAGCTGCTGCTGGATGAGGTATTGCTGGTGTAAGGCCTGAGGTAGGAATGGAGGACCCGGCACATCCTGGAACTGAGGGGGTGCAGGCAGGGCAGTGAGGGGCGGGTGGTGTGCCGGGGGCAGGTGGGTGGCCAAGCCGGTCTGAGGCGGCTGGCTGGCATGTCCTAGAGGGAACTCTGCTGAGATGGGCGCTTGGGGTGCGCCCAGGTGAAAGTGTCGGCAGGAGGTAGCATGGCTGTGTTGATGCCTGGTGAAGTGTGCTCCTATGGAGAGGAAATGCAAGTGATCAGGGCTAAGCCTCATCATCCAAACAGGCACCACAGAGAGACCCAGACAAACCAATGGAGAGTACATACTGACGCACATAATTGCAGAAACAAGCACTTTTTGGCTTTCTCACACACACAAACACATTTAACAACCAATCACACAGAGACAATTAGAAAATAGGAGAGACTTGACACAGGAAGAGACAAGACAAGACAGACAAAACAGCAGATGGAGGACACAGACATTGAGACCCCCTGTGGAGCACCATCTAAACCCACACACAGATTGCACCCGATGGCCTGCCTCTCCACTTGCCACAGTGCAGCCAGCAGGAAGGATGGATCTTCACTAACAGCCTGGTGTGTTTCCAAGAAGATCTACAGCACTGAGGGATGTCTGCGGTCCGCTGCTAGTCAATTTAAAAGATTCAGGCTCTGTATTATGTCTGCCATTCCATGGAACAAATACTCAACTGTAGATTTCTCATTAAAACCCTGCACAGCAACTGAGGTGGGCTCAAAAGATTATCTGCCTCCATTTCTACCTTCCCCCACCCATCCTATCAGAGATGGAGGAGGCATGAGATTGTGTGGTAGTCCCACTGAATCACCTCGGTATCAGGTTACACAAAACAATCAATACAAATTACTCTGAGCTCGGAGAGAGGAGGGCCGGGAGGAGGGTGAGGTGGGAACAAACAATTACTTCTTCAGCTGCCCATTACGGCTTTCTAGCCTTCTGGAACAGGAAGCAGACAGCGGGGTCCGGAGAATGGACTGTGCACTGTGTATAATTAAGTAACGGAGTATTGCGCATTTGCATGGTTGGAAGACATAATTGTCTCATCTACTGCTCTGTCAGTGGTTTCAAGCTGAGTCAGGCAGATTAAAACCTGATAAACAGTGATATGGAGTGACAAAGTATGTCTAATAGGAAGAGGAGATGATTTGGATGGTAGTTAATGGTTTGTGATATATTTAGCAATTGCTGACAAATCTAATTAACACTATATGGTTCACTGAGCTGAGATCTAATTTACAAATTTTCAAGTCTGCAACATTTTATGTGAACACAAAATCCCACAATATACTTTCAATGGATGACGTTTTAATATATTTATTAATCTAAAGGAATAGTACAACATTTTGGGAATGTGCTTGTTTGCTTTCTCTCTCTGAAGCTCATTTCCCACTGCACAAATAACCCATTAACACCTGCTAACATCTGTTTTTTGTATTTAACTGGAAAGACTGAAAACAGCAGCCCTCTGGGATAAATGACTCTGTAATAGTCATGGGTATGTATCAGCTCCAGCTGGAGATGCTAACTTCTCCCCTTTTTCTGGAGCGATACACAAAATACTGTCCGTCTCCATCCAAATAGCGCATTGTTTAAAATAGTCTGCACTGAGTTGAGATTTCAACGTAGTCTCATTCCCAACTTCTCCAATACCAACGCTTGGTCAGTGGCTCTTGGTGTCAGACACTGATGCACTGAGACACCCTTCAGGGGCAGAAAGACACGCACTGGGCAGCAGCATTTTTTGACACTGGGCATCAACAGTTATATAAAGAGCAAGAAGGTTTGCATAGGGCTAGTAGGAGGTGAGGTGAATGGGTCAAACAAACTCCGGACTTTCACTCAGGAGACCACTGTTTGTTCATTGTGTGAAACCGAAAATCAAGTTATTCTAACATAGTGTGTTCGCACATATATATATATATTTATACACATATATGTACCATAATATGCTATACTATGCTATTTGACGTATATATGATGTATGTCATGTTATACTAAATTATGTTTGAAACAAACCCACATATTTATAAGTCAAACTACGATGTTTTATTCTGAATTTAACCACATGCTTTTGTTGCTTAACTTAAGGAAGTAAAATTTAAAACTGAACTTTTGTACCTACGTTCTAGGTTAATGTTGAAAAGAGATGGTATGCATTCAACGAGCAGAAAACAGTATGTTTCCTGTGAAAACTGAAGTTTATTTTGAAAAGAGACGACGGATTTAACAAGGGTAAATTAACATGTCACCCGAAATGTCCAGAGCTAACGCAAGAGAGAAGGACAGCAATACCACTCTCTAATCTATTTTACCAGCTAAGCTAACTGGCTGCCGGGTGTAGACAGCAGCTGGTTAGCTTAACTTAGCATAAAGATTGGAAACACCCCTTGATTATAGAGTATGCCGACCAGCACATTTAAAGCTTATTATTTAACGTGTTTTATTTGTTTGTTTAACATGTAAAACCAAAGTGTCAAAACAATAATCTGTCATTTCACAGACATTCTGTGGCAGACAATTTCTTGGCTTTGAGCAGTTACCAGCAGGGACTCCAAGAAGTTACTGGTCCAAGCCAGGAAGTAGTCTGGGTAGTTTTTTTGTATGTAATTAAAAAAGAAAAGCAAAGCTGTAACTTTGTGATGGAGAACCATGCTGGCTGTTTCTAGTCATTGTGCTAAGCTTCACTGTGAAATGTGAGAGTAGTATTAATTGTCTCATCACACTCTCCACTAGAAGCCAAATTTCCCAAAATGTCAAACTATTCCTCAATTATTGCTAAAATGACATACATGCATGGCTGCTGTTTCGCTTCGTTGTGTATGGCCTCGGGACATGGGAAGCCAGTGAACCTTGAGAGCCATGAGCAATCTGAAAACAACATTTGGCTGAGGAAGTAGAGCAGAAATGGCAGACCGCTGGTTTGGATTGGTTAAAGGCTGTGCATCACTTTTGTATGAAGCCTGTGACCCGGCATGACTGGACTCGATGTGAAGCTCAGAGTAAATATAAAATTGTCTTTCCCAGCATGAATCCCTGACATTAATATTTGACGTATTGCAGTAACAGCCCTGATGTTGTTATTGTTACGTCTCTGCTTCGACTTTGACTCGCAGACATAAAATGCCTGATTGGTGCAGAACAGACCCCCACCCATCCACACACGCATAAAGCACACACGCTCATACACTCCCATCCACCTCTTTTCACCCCTGAGCTGCTGCACAGGCAGCCCCTCCCCCACGGTGTGGCTGCGGCATGGTGTCCCTGCGTGAGTGACAGCCCGTAAGCCCTGCCCAGCCGCGACTGCAGCAGTCTGACATCGAACCTGTCTCTCTCTCCCTCTCTCCAACCCCTCCTGCTTCCATCACTGCAGCTTTACAATCACACCTCCCCTCTAACATAATCCTGTCTCAATGCTGGTGTGGTGGTCTTCTGTCATGTGACGCTGAGAGTCTTGTGTATGCAGTTTTTCATTGAAGCCCATCATCACCACACCTGCTGATATCAGTGATTGGCACGCTCACACTCAGAATGAGGGACTAATGAGTGAAATCAGATTGTTTGTTTCACAGCTGGAGTGAAAGTCTGCATACAACCGGTTCCACATGACACATGCTTGCACACAACATACTGACCTTGATGCTACACACGAGTCAAACAAGGACAGGTTGGGCACGGGGTGGAAGACAAAGCATCTGATATTAATGTGGTCTTTACCAGTGCAGCTACTGTCAAAGAACTTGTGCATTAAAGCTGTTGAGTTATTTAAAGGTCTGTTGCTGGAGTCGCTGGAGAAAGTTGCCATGCGCATATGGCTGGGTCTCAGACACACCTTGTGTCAGCACATAAATAACTCTGACTATTTCAGACACTGTGAACAGATGTAAGGCTCAAGTGGTTGGAACATGACAGAAAGAAGTCCCAGACTCTGAAACTATTTAAATGACTGAGTTTATATTTCAAATGTGCAATGTAATACTCGCAATTAATGACATCGTTGCCTGCGCTGTGTTGTGACCAGTTTACCCACTTTTAAAGTTAAAGAGTGAGAGCAACTCTTAAACCAAGACCACATTTAAACACAGGAAAAATAAGGATTTAAAAAGCTAATTATTTTCTAGATCCAATAGAAACATCCAGAACTTTTGTTATAAAAGTGTCTTGCTATTATTCATTTACAAAAGGCCTTCAATTCAACAATATTACTGACTTCCTGCAATAAATATTCAGAAGCCTTGTCTTCATTTGTGCTGTTATCACGAGCAACAAAGGCACGACTGTATAACTGTAGAAATTTATTTTTAAAACCGTGAGTGGCGACGTGTTCTTTCTGTGATTTTATGTGTATAACTGTGTCAAGGTCTGTTCTACTAATAATGAGAAGAGGACTTTATTAAAGAGGCCAGTATTTTCACAACATTACATACAAAGATAAAACACTTTAAAGATGACATAGTTGCCATTTGGTGATTGAGCCAAATTGTTTTCTAATTATGCTTCATATTTGGAGACGGTTAATGAGAGAGATTTAGATGAGAAGATGGATACCACTCTTATATCTGTCAGGTTATTTCTCCTTGTTAAATTAATAGGAAAATGATGGTGGGTTATGTGCCAGACTATTTCTTGAGGACTATTTCACAGCCAATAAATAGTTTGTCACATAACCCCTCTGTACAACTGATAATTTACTTTTTTTAAAGAACTAAACCATAGACTGTAAAATGAAGATGGGCGACATGACAGCTCCCCAAAATATGGTGGATAAAGACAACTGATACAGTGTTGATGGCTGGGCTCTGTTCATTTGTATGAAAGTTGCTCAGTGGCGCATGAAGCCAAAAAGTTCGACTTCCCAGATGTGAAATTATCCAGATCTTCTGCATCATTGGGCCCACAGAGCAAGTGCACAACAGACTTTCACAAGCCAAGCTGCTAACATCATGTTAAGCCCTCTGTTAACTTGAATGGGGATCAAAGTATTTAACCATGCGGCTCTTCTAGACTTTCAAGGTGTTATTGAACCAAATGGATCAAACTCCGATAGAGGAAGAGTCATTTCGCAGGGGTTGTGGCATTCAAAAAAAAAAAAGTAGGCTACCCGCTGATTTACAGATGTCTCTTTCACAATTAAGTCTATGGGAGACAGTCTTTTTGGGCCCAAGTGCATCCCAGACAATGTAATGCCACTGTTTGGTTGCTATGAATTGCCTTTAAAGCCCAGTGCGCATCTTGGGGGTCTGCCCAAAAGTGAAGTCAAAACATCTTGACTGGTGGCTGGCTGTAGGTCATAAAACCTGCCCTGTTAGCGGATGGGACATGGGCCAAACTAAAAATGACAGCACGCATCAAATTAAGTTTTCCCAAAAGATGGTCTCTGTCTTTTTAGGTAGTTCTTATCACACTAATGTATTTTCAACTGTTCACTTTTCTGGTAAGTTTGGTCTATAAAAAGAGGATGTGAAGTCACGACTGACCGAATGGCTGACCGAATCTGTGTGCTTGCGATTGGTTGGACGACGAGAACTCGACACCCCAGAGATCGCAACTGCGCAAGACTCGAGCTCCAAGATGGCAGTGCCCATATCTGGAATATTTTGACTTCATTATTGTACAGTGGGAGAAAGTGGAGATGTGTTGTCCATCTTTATAGACAGTTATTGCAATAAACAAACAAAATACTGTAAATTAGTAAATTAGTGAGCTTTAGAGGTGCTGGTAGGTGGATTTAGTTACCGTTTGACAGAGCTGGTCTTGCTGTTTCTTCCTGTTTCCTATCTTTGTGCTAAGCTAAGCTATCCTGCTACCCTAAGACATGAGAGGTGTCGATCTACTCAACTAATTCTCTGCTTGTGAGAGAATAAGAGTATTTCCCAAAATGTTGAATTTTTCCTTTAATAAAACAACTAAGCAATCTACTGAAGTATGTAATCCAGTACTTAAGGGATGAGGAGAGATATCAAAGGTCTTTGTGTTAAAATACCAAGCAGTCAATAGCTCGAGGCAGAGTTGGATGATATCATGATATCTACCATGAGACCATCCATTTACAATAGTGTTTATACCCTTGTGTACAGTTTCATATCTTTGGGTGTATCAGGCCATTTTAGGCAATGCTGCAAATCAAGTTCTTTATGGATTTTTATATGATTTTTGCTGGATTAGCCAAAGACGTACATTGTAGTTGTTGATTTTTAAAAGAAAATTGAGTGTCACCATATATATTTTCATCAAAATACAAAATAATGTATACCTAGACAGAGAATTGTATCCATTTCGCCCAAAGTTGTTTCAATGTTAACTCATCACCAATGAACACCAATGAGTGAATGTGAGGGAGGCTGTGTTTTGTTGGATAAGGAGTGAATGACAGCATGTAACATTAAAAATCAATGCCGGTGTGTTTCAGTATAAACATGCTTCTTTTTTTTTCATATGGATAGAAAATTTGGTTGCCCCTACTCCAAAGTAAGCAGAGCAGCAACTTGAAGAAACTCTGTCAAAGACAGCTGAGAAATGAGAGCACATTAAGAGTGAGGGGACCGTCTCAGTGACAGCACAGTGTGGAGGGAGGAGGGGAGGACCACATGGAAATCAGCAAAAAGCACACTGAAGGTTAGAAAGAAAACTACAGTCTTTATTGGAAAATATTAGTTATGTGTGGCACTGTGTGATAATAGTAATAATAAGAGTAATATATCCTACATAACCATAATAATACCATGCAAATAAAGACCAAAGGCAAGGCCCGACCATGCTCTCTGTAGGGTTAACAGAACAGAAGCAGCATCCAATGAGTAGATGTGTATGCTTACAGCACATTTCAGTATAGCAGGGACATCTCTACACAAAGTTTACATTGGAATCTGCTGTTCAATGTGGAAAAACAAAAGTATAAAATGACCATGCATTAGGATCTAATACAAGAACATAAGGTAGAAAACCACAACCAAAGAATAAAAGACATTTTCATTCTAAAAGGAGTTCTACAGCAGTGCAGGATATACACATCCCTGTAAAATGGATAGCATTCTGGAGGTGTCTGAAGAAAAGACTTGATTGGGGGGGGCTGTGCATGATAGTGGGGGATTTTCAAATGGCAAGATGAGTTAGACCTGAGAGTCTCGCCAATTTATTGTGACTGACAAAATCAATTCAGCTAGCAGGAACAAAGGCTTTCACACATGGATAGGATTATGACCAGCCCTTTGGACGCCACTAGAACAGGTGCAGTGGACCATCAAAAGTGAAAATAGCATCACACAAATGACTTTAGCACTACAGGTATCGGCCAATTGGTGCACGTTAGGATAAAAGGATTATTGGTGGTGATTATTTAGAAAAAGGTGATCATACAAAGGCTTTAATGATTACAAAAGCTGGTACAATGCACCTTTGCAAATAGGGGATGGAGACAAAATTGAAAGAGTTCGATCAAGCCTGGCTGTAATCGAATCGGGGAGGATCAAAATGTATCCACTTTACAGAAATTTACAGCAGAATGTAGTCTATCCACACTGAATGGGAGAATCACAATGACAGTTTGTAGTAAAATCTAATGCTACAATGGGTTATTCACTGAAGAGCAACATGACAGTTTAAATAAAGACAAACTGTTTTCTACAGAAGGTGTTATTCTTTAGTCTGTTACACAGAAGGATACGGTATGAGTGGGAACTCGGTTTTAATGCCAATGTCGTCTTCAGATGGAAAGAGGAAATGAGGAAGAAGGGGTTCACAATACAGCTAGATGCAGAGAACAGGCAGAGGCTACGGCAGACAGCAGCAGATGATCGTTAGCTACACAATGGAGGGGGACAAAGGTCTGAGAAATGCGGAATGTAGAGCCAGCCTCGATACTATGGAACAGGAAAAAAGAACACAAATAAAAGCACAATGAAATCATTGGTGCTACTGCATGTAGTTTTAACAATGCACGTCAAATTATTACTATTATTATTACATAATCAACACAGATAGCCTGCTGCAATGGAGGGTGATTATAGTTATTATGGCCAATTCAGCGAGTGTCATCATTCATATTTATGCTGTTCAGATTTGCACTGCACCTGCAGCGTGATTTCAAGGTTTCATCTGACGCTTTTTGAGGATTTGAGACAAAATGCCACCATTTGATACCATTTTAAATAGCCAGCCATAGCCTCTAATCTGAGCTACGGCCATTACACTACCTGGGAGAAACCTTAATTGAGACTAACCCGGGGTAAAATGAGCTCAGTAAATCAACAGACTCCATGCCAGCTGCACACAAAGGGACAAACATCCCCTTGTCATGTTGTCAGTTGTCAGCTTCAGTTCAGATACATGCTTGGGGGCCAAATTAATGACAAATCCACGCAAAGCTATGGATATTATTAGCTAAAGCTGAGCTGGTAAAATGTGGCTGTGTGAAGCTTCTGGTATTGTTCAGTAACGTTAGCTTAGCGGTGACTGCACAAAAAAACGCTGCAAACGCACGTAAACAGCGCGCGGTGAGAGATACAGCAGACCGCGCTAGCACAGCTGAGGATGAAAGAAAAGAGGGGCTGCCATTTGACAGCTGCAGTCATTTGATGCGGGTAACAGGCCCTGAAACATCCTAAAACAAACGACAGTTGCTCTCATATCATTTTAAATGTCTTCAGTCACGTTAGCCACGCGCTAGCGGTCTTTAACGGCTAATTTCACGCGACGCTACAGTTAGCAAGATAGCTAAATGTTGTCTAACGTTACACTCGGCTGTCGCTATTATGCTGGCTCGGGTTTTTGCTAGCAGGTGTCAGCTCTGTTTACATCATTTGAGGACATTTAAAAGAAGGAAAAAGCCGAGAAATTTGTTAGGGTTAGGGTAAGAAAATATATAGAGCTAGTCATACCTCTATTTCTAACTGAGCCGAAGACAGGGAGAACCAGATATCCAACATGTACTAACACCATCCTGGGTCCTTCTTTGTTGTGTGTGTAGCCAGTGAGACAGATGGTCCATGGAAATGATACCCTCTCCAGTCCCGAGCACATTCAAACGGACAGGCTGCGCTGCGAGCACACACAGACCCGAGCAGCCAATCACTGGACCCCTCCGATCAGGACCCTCCAGCTTTGGCACCCTGCTCCACCAATGGGGTGAGCCCCGGGGCGGGGCTGTCTGTGTTTTGGACAGCCTGCCCCTACATGACTGAAGCAAGCAGTCCTCATCATAAGGTAATCTTGGTAGTGCTGGTTTCCTGAGAGACCCTCTAAGATTTTGTCCCAGCTGTTCATTAAGATTTTGGCATGTCTATCACTGAAGTGTTTTTAAAGGGATTAAAATGACATATTAATCTGTAACAAATTATTTAGCAACTTGTTGTTCTACATTTAACCAGCCATCAGTGCCGGAGCTACCACATCTGGTGCCCAAGGCAAGCTTCCCTGGCGACCCCCCCCCCAACCCTCTCAAAAATATATATTTTTTCATTTAAAAAATATTAATGGTTATTGTATTAAATCTAACAAGAACAAGAGCTAATGAGAAATCAACACAAATAAGCAACTTACCGGTAACAAATGCTTATAATAAATAAACAATAAGAGAATACGGTATGTGCAAATTTGCAGATCTCATTATTTTTGTACAGAGCCTCGAATGGCATTTACCATATGTTTGATTTTTTTAATAATTTTTTATATATTGTTTTTGAATGTCAAAACTATATATACATACATTTTTTATTTATTTATTTTTACATGCATGGGTGGCTGCTTACGTCCCCTATTGGGAGATCCACCACTGCCAACTATAGCACACAGTTACCTTGATTTTTACATAGGCTATATTACAAAACAAATTCATATACTAGTATGGTACATTTATGTTACACAGATGGTTTCAGTTATTGTGGATTATTGTGGATATTTACAGAGATGTGCTGGGATTAACATTGGGTCACCAATCTCATATTTAGCATTAGCATGTGTAAATCAGAAGTAGGGGCCTGCTTTTTAAATGAAGTAACGTAAAAAATAAATATTACCCAATTCAGATACATGCTTGGGGCCAAATAAATGACAAGTTCATGCACAGCTATGGATATTATTAGCTAAAGCTGAGCTAGTAATGTGGCTGTGTGAGGTATTGTTCAGGGGGCCTGCTTTTCAAAGGAATTAAAGTGAAAAACACATATCACCCAATAATCTGAAACACATTATTCAGCAATATTTCCTAATGGTAGTGTTGGTTACTTCTCACTGAGGAATCATAGTTGGGACAGATGACCCACTGGGTCCCAAAAACAGGAGAAATACTTACTTAAGTACTGTTCTTCAGTACAACTTTGAGGTGCTACAATTTATGTTTTTTCATGCTGTCACTCCACTACATTTATTTGCTATACCCACCACTTTGATGTTACATACAAAACATATGATCACTTTATATAATATGATTCACTATGTAAGATTAAAGGCCTTGCATACCATAGGGTTGTTTTAAACCACACTCAAAGCCACATTTTTGGAGACATTACAAGAAGTTTCTATTCATTCATCAGACTTCATTGTAACTGCATGGAAAAATCCTCACTGGTTTAATTTCCCTTCCCTGAACAGATTGGACACCTGACACTCCTTTTCCAGTCTCAATACATGAGCAAATACTACATAGGATGTAATAAGAATCTGATTTTTTTAATGACAAGAAAAGACATTAGAGTTTTCTTAAGTGAATCTATTGTCACAGCCAGAACCGCTCAGTGAGAAGTAAAACAGCGATCAGGGAAATGTTGCTGAATAATCTGCTACAGATCATTAAATAATATTTAATTCTCATCGTAATTCCTTTGAAAAACAGCCTCTCTCTGTGTTGTATAATTTTTCCTGCGCAGCAGCTATGCTCAAAACTGTCTGTGTCCTGAAAACCTCTCTGCCTTAAGTGTTAAGCCTGAAGGGTGAAGGAACAGATGGGCATGGTGAGGCTGAGGGGGTCACAAAACTCTTAGTCCCATATGTCCTCCTCCTCCAGTTCCCACCATCTAATGCTTTAAGCCTGCGGTGCCACACAAAGAGCCTTTAACAATGCTCTGCCATCGGTGCAGGTCAAACTACTGCCATCAGATCCCTTCATTCACAAATAACAGACCTATAACTTTAAACTACAAAACTATTTCATACATAATGTGAAGAAAGTGGTACACTGTTTGATTTTCTTGAAAAATGAATTCCTTTCTGTCCTTATGTTCACAAGTCACACTGCCTGCTATTAAAATGCCGTGTTAAAAATTAAATATTTTGTGGCAGCTAACAGTTATTCTAATTATTGAATTTCTTTCAGAATTATCGTTTAATCTATTAAATGTTTTTTAAAAAGTAGTGAAATAATACCCATCACAACTCTCCACTGCCCAAGGAGACATGTTCAAGTGTCTTGCTTTGTTTGACTAAAAGTAAAAAACCCAAACATGTTCAGTTTACAGTGATATATGACAAAGTAAAGAAGCAAATCCTCTTATTTGAAGCTTTTTTCACTATTTTTACTTGAGGAAAAACAGCAAATAATCATTCATCAAAATAGTTGCCTAATTTATTATTCTATTAGGGTCTAAATATTTTTAACATTTGCTCATTAGAGCTTTAACTTCCCACAACAGAAATGATCAAGATCTATGAAAGAAGAAAGTTATGGTATTTATGTTGTGCTCACTGGTAATTAGAGGGAGACACATGCATTATTTTGTTGGTGTAAGGCCCTCTGGTGGCGGCTGAAGCAGCCATTAACAAGCGCACTGTCAGTCTGAATAAACCCAGAACAGCACTTGTACAACACAGAATCTAAAGCTGCATCATTCAGACTAAAAAGACATCTGCAAGAGGAAGGATACTTATTTCTGGCTTTTGAGAGTGAGCCAGCACACTCGCTGCTCTGTGAGGCCACCACTGGCCTGTAAAAATTAGCATACAGCTGATGTTCTGGCCCCGAGGGGTGAAAAGAGCTGGCTGAAGAGCTTTGGTTTGCAAGAGGAGGGCCCCGCAGACTGCATTGCTCCACACCCTCATTGTCCTCTTCATGTGAACTCCATATGTCCCCCTAGCGGCAGGTGTCACCGTGTGACCCCTGACCCCGCATGCCACTTCTGTGGGTGACGGTGAAGTTGTATTGTTCACAGCGAGGCAGTTGTCTAGACTGTTTGGCCCCAGGATAAAAGACAACAATGAGACGTGTCGTTAAGTATTATACCTATGATGGCAGTTATTCTCACTCGCACACACAGGAATTTAGATGTGTGAAACACTTTTTGATTGACAAGACTTTGTGCTGCCATTGTTATATTTACAATTTGAGGCAGATTTTAAAGGACATTGTTTGCATAAATTGAATTAAAGTTGTCTGAGAGGATGAAAAATATGACAAATGTCATTGTCTTCAGTCCCAATCATACAACCTTTGACATGCTAATTTGGCAACACAGATTTATCAGACTAAAATAAAACAAGAAAATCTTCCAATTTAGTTTTCCTTCCCTTAGCTTGACATTAGACATTTGACATGCCGACAGTCACAGCACATGAACAAAGACAACACAGACTGCTTGTAAAATGACTCAGAGTTCTCTAAAGCCGAGGAAATAAACTGCTGTACAACAGGGTCATTAAATAACGCTCTATTTATTTAGTTTTAAAATAGTTTCTTTTTGTTCTACAGACATAATTTCAAGGAAGTCAAGGACTTGCAGAAGCAACAAAATAAACACCTTTTTTTTGTTAATTTAAAATACTGACAGTAAAATGAAAACAATAATAAACAGAAGAGCAAAGCTAAATTACTGGTAATGAGGATAATATCTGACTTGAGGTTAAAGATGTGACCAAACATGCTATGTGCAACCATAATCGAGCATCTCTGCCCTTATTTTCTACCAAACCTCTATCACTAAAGACATGAGTCTCACTAACATGTCATAATAACTCTAAAGAACAATAGCAAAATGGGTTTTGCAAGCAGAAGTGGTCTGGTAAAAAGAATTGTCGTTACAGTGGTAGCTGCATATAGTGGAAAGAACTGGCCGAAGGAAAGACAAAAATATCACATTATACTAAACTGTATCTTGAGTTTGAGACAGAATTCAAGTCACCTCATTTCACAACAAATGCATTGACTTCCAAATTAAAAGATTTAGACTTACAGAGCAAATTAAAAAGAAAGACTGGAAGCAAATTTAAAATCCATAAAACAAAACTTCAAACATTAATCCCATTTAGACTTTGGTTTAGTTCCTTATATTTAGGATTTTCCCTTCCCTTCTGTGACCAGCAGAAGTCAAATAATTTGATTCTACAATTCTCAAGCATCACTTAGAAAAGTAGATGTTATTCAATATTAAATAAAATAAATCATAAGTGTTAAAACAGTGTGTGAAGTGGGATCATTGATAAAAAATTTACCAGCTTGGCTGCAGTACTGCATGGAGACAGAAATAAGACCACAGGGAAAGAGAGCAAGCAGGCCCTGAGGATCAGGGTTAAAAACAGTTCATACAGTAAAAGTTTCTTCTATAAATGCCCCAAACATGTGGGTATAAACTCAACACCACGTATACTTTGTGTGTGTGCTAAATTCACATCTATTATTAAAATATTTATTGTCGAGATAGCAAAATCCACTGCTTTGTAAGGTAAAAGAATAAGCTTTATACAATTCTAAAAGAAAATAGTGCACATTTCAAGGCATTCAGGCCATCTTGCTTTGCAGTATTCAATGGAAGATACATTTCTTCAGTTGTTATAAAGGGGTCCCCAGAGGTTTAAAGGTGTTTGCATCCACTCAGGAAAAAGCATGCAAACAATAAGTGCAGCCAGTCAGCACTGCAGGGTCATACATTCACTGATAACTACGTCACTTGGGACACTCACTCTGTAGCAACACAGCAGACTCTGTGGCTTCAAACATAAAATGTGTCTTAATAAAACCATACATAATTTGTATTGCCAACACACCACCACATACAGTAGTGCTGTGGTGGAAATGAGTTGTATTTTGTAGTGTGTTTGTATTTTTCAACCAGAGTCCAAGTTTAACCTGTGGTTTTCTGTATGTTTACATTAAAAAAAGGAAAAAATATTGTAATATGGTAGTGACAGAAACAATGCTGCGATTAAATAAAGACATTTTGGGAAATATGCTTATTCGCTTTTTGATAGAGAATTAACGCTAGATGAAAAGGTTGGTACCACTCATGTCTACCCAAAGCAGCAGGTTAGCTTAGCTTAGCACAAAGACTGGAGACAGGGTAACAGCTAGCCTCGCTCTGTCTTACTATTTCTTGGCCAAGAAATAGTCTGTCATGTAACACCCCAAAAACAGTGAAATGTAATTTTTACAGTTCAGTTTCTGTGTGGAATAAGCAAACGAGATATAAAGTGTTAATTAGTGAGCTTTAGAGATGCTGGTAGCAGGGTTTTGCTATCTTTGAACAGAGCCACGCTAGCGGTTTCCCCCTGTTCCCAGTCTTTGTGCTAAGCTAAGCTAAGCTAACCTGCTTCTGGCTGTAGCTTTATATTTAAGGAGAGATATAAAGGTGATATCACTCTTCCCTTCTAAAGACTGCTGCACACCAAGTCCGTATTTTTCATGCAAAATTGTTGCAGTTTTAAAAATAAATACGACCTCACATTGTGTCACACATGTTTGTACACAGACTGAAATTTTCATCTGTCATTTATGCATGTTTTCGCATCTGTGAAAAACCTTTAGAGAGTTTAACAAAGACGCAGTGAAGAAAACGAGAGGGGAATGGGGTGCACAGTATCATTTCACAACTCAGACAGCCTACTTTCAACAGGTCAAACAGTAATATACAGGTGGACAATGATGACGAGGAGGAGGAGGAGGGGGATGTTGATCGCACACAGACAGACTGAGTGATGGCGTGGAGACAGTGAGGACAGTGAGGACATTCTTGTGTTGCCAATTTTGGCAACAAATAAAACAATAAATCACGTTGAACTCAATGTGCAAGGTCTCTCCGCATTACATTTTCTCTGTATGACGGAATTAAAAAAACATATGAAAAAAGCAGACTTGGTGTGCAAAGGCTTTAACTCTCAGGAAGAATGCGAATAAGTGTAATCCCAAAATGTCAAACTGTTGTTGTAAAATAAACCAAAACCCTCCTTGGCAGCACCAGAGCACAGGCTGTACCCATGCCGGACAGAGTGTAGAGAAGCAAAGCCATCGATGCAAACTGAACTAAATGTGAAACCAGTGGTGAGACTCTTGAAAACAAAATTGACCCTAGACCACTACAAAGCGAACTTTGTGGTCTACTGTACAACTTAAAGTGTACCAGCTGCCGTTCATGCCTCGACTGCAGGTGACTACATGTAAAAACGCCGGATCTGAAAATATGCCGTTCAGAGTCTGTAGTGAAGCAGGTCAACAGCCTGTCGTGATACTGACCTGCTCTCAAGCAGCAACTTGATGTTTTCACTATACAGCTTGCAAGCACAACACAAAATGACAACCTACATCCGTTGTCAAGGGGAAACTGAGGTATTAAATGAAGGTAGGATATTGCTATCATTAACAGATAAATCACTCTCGTGTACATTTCCACCTGCACTTGAAGTGCTGTGCCATTTTATTACAACTAAATTCAGAAATGACAAGCCAAGATGAGGGAATCACGTCAGTAGAATGGCTTTGATACATGATTGTTTGACAGTAAGTTAAAAAACAAAAACAGTGCTCTGGAGCAGGAAGATTCCAGGAGCGGTTACAGGCGAGGCCGCAACTATAAGAAGGATTTCAGCCGTAACATGGAGGCAAGGCAAGAGGGATGAGGAGTGAGGGGGCAGAGATAAGGAGTCTTCAGTGTACGGGTTGTTTAAAGTAGGTATTTTTGTCCGGTGTCCTCGTCCAGTGTGAGGTCCACCACTTCGGGTGGGGACACCCAGTTGGGCTGAGGGGAAACAGTAGTCCAGAGCTGTGGTTGATTTGTGCTGTTTAACTGCTCCACTGAGTTCTCCTTCCAAGTCGACAGACTCTTTATCACCCCTCCACATGGGTGGGCGCATCTGGATTTAGAAACAAATCATTTTTAATATTTTAATTCAGCTGTAAAACCAGAAGTAATAATAAAATTCAAAAGATACAGTTTCTCAAAGTCTTTACCGTGCTTTCTCTTGCACTCCGACTATTTCTACCTCGCTGTCAGAGGAAGCAATGTTAATCTGGCCCTTGTTGTGTTGAGAACTTTCCTTGTGCGACAGCTCTGCCTCCGCGTTGCCTGAAACAAATCAGAGGAACAGAGTCACACATTGTGAGGAGGACCAGAGCAGTAGAGAGCTTAAGGCCTTGCTGACACATAAAGGCTGCAGCTGCTTTGACACAGACAAGAACAAAACAATGATGAATCTGACACTTGTGTTTGAAAAAAGCTGACTGGATAGCATAGAGTGACACATTGGACAAAACATAAATTGTGGACTTTAGATTCATGTTTTGACAATGCCTGCTAGTCAGTCACGAAAGGTCATCTTTTTTGTTTTGAAGCAAGGCAGAGAGTTTTTACAGCACCCAATGCAAGCCAGTAGTGTGTGGGATGAAGGCAGTAGTATTTCAAAAGCACCTTGCTGAGATTAAAAAGACCGTTTCCCCCACATAGCACGCTGCACCCATGCCTCTAAATGTCCTGTCTTCACTGAGAGGAGTGGAAATTATCAGTTTGGAATCAGCGGGTTTGTAACTGACCTGAGATAGAGCACAGAGCTCTTATACACCCAGAGTGAGCTGCCATATCCTGGCCTCTGTGTGTTTTTAGCTCATGCTTTATCACCGTGGGCCGGACTGTCTCCACACTCATACTCTCCTGGTTAGAATCAGTGTCTGAAATATCATAGTGACCCACTACTGGAAGCCCGTCTGCAGAAAACAAAGAGAACACTTCATTATTCAAATCATGCTTTGGAACTGTAGGACTGCTTGGAAAAGAGACAGGACACTGCATCCACAGTCCTGCTGACTGCAGCATCAAAAATATACACAAGGAAACATATCCGATTTTCCCCAAAACCAAAAATAAAATGAAATATTTAGGCTCATTCAATTTGATAGCACTAGTTCTGCTGTGAAACATCAACACTTACAGAAACGTCCCACTGTGAATAAAGTTATCATCACTTTTCAAAGCCACACCAGTGAGGCCTTTATAAGAGTAAATAAATAAATAAAAGCTTTTAGCAGCAGCATGTTTTTCCCTCTTTCCATTTATTGCTTTTAAAATAACAGCCATTCACATAAAAACTACACTAGAATACAGTCATTACAAAACACTTCAAAATTATCTTATTCCGTGAGTGAAATGCAGTGGGATAATAAAAGCCAAACAAGAATAACTCAGTGGAAGAGCGGAAACATGTATGTTTGTTCTACCCTGTAAAAGGAGTCCCTGGGAGAGACGCACACACACAGCTATCATCCAGACATGTCTGTGGGTGTGTGTGTGTGAGGGGGTTCGTCTGGACAGCATGTACTATGAGAGAACTCTGCCTATGAATAGCTGATTGGGCTGAAACAGGCAGGTACCAGGGTTACCAGACAACCCCGAGGACTTGCCAATGTAAAGGGCATGTTATTAAAGATAGAAAAGGACTGATGTAAACCAGGATAGTCTCTTTGGTAAACAATGGACTGTCCTTAGTGTTGGTTATAATGCACACAGTTTGTGACTGTATGCATAAGGCTCCCTTTACCATGTCGACAAAACAGTTGATTTAAAGGTAATTCATGAACAAAAGCAGAACAGCAGTTGTTGGATCCATTTAAACCCAAATGTAAGTAAGAATGCACCATGAACTGAAAACACCAATATTCATACAATTTGAAACAAAATCTTTAGGCCAAGAGAAAACAACTAAATAGATAAAATGATCTGTCAGTCACCATTTATCAGCATAAGCAAAGCTATACCTTGCACACATGCTGCTAATGAAACTAATTTGGCCTTGCACATTCTATATACTAATATAAACACATGCAAACAGGTGGGGAAACGATGCCTCCAGCATTACGTTCTGTAAAACCGACAGTCAGAGGGCTACATATACACATACAGAAAATGTAACACTTTTTTTTTTTTTAAACATCCTAACTATAAATATGATTAGGCCAAAGATTCCTTCATCAGTGTCTGTGATGAATAGACAGTGGTAGCAGTGTTAAAAACTCTGACACCATGGTCCTCTACATCAGTAAAAGTAGTTTGAGGAGTGTTGAGGAGGAGTGTTTCCACCTCAAAGACCACAGGATCTGAACCAGAGAAGGCCACTTGATCACTCAGATCAGTCCGTTTTTAAGAAATCAGTAAACATTGCCATGCACCATACTGCAGCTGTATTACTGCTGTATACTTGTTAGTTTGATGCCTGGGTTTTTTAGTTTAAAGTCGAGCTGCGGGACATGTGGCCCCTTTGTGGAAACACAGGCCAAGCTGGAGGACCAGTGCAAATAAAAAGTTAACTAGGCAAATATTAAACGAGTGAGGATTTGAGGCTCTTGACATTGCAGCTGATAGCTGCAACATAGGAGCCTTATGCCTTATCTAATGTCCATAATCTATACATAGGCTACTAAAAATAAACATTGGGAGTTATTCCCCCCTCACTAGTTTCTTGTTACTGCACAAAGGCAGCGATAGCAGCAAATGTAACAGAAAGGCAAACATTACAAAATGTAAACACATCTAATCTAGTTACATCATAGGGTATTTAAAAAGCAAGGAATCCGTGTGTGTTAGTATATTGTGTTTATATTTATAGGCAAATCTATATTGTTATGTAAATGTGTTGATGTTAGTAAAGCTATACCACCAAAATAAAGGTTGTCACAAGATTTTAAGAGTCCTGAACCACTTACAAGCAAAGTGCAAACATAGTTCGGGAGAAAGGATAGTGTGTTGAACCTAAAGGAATAGTACTGTGATGCTCTAGTTATCATTCCCAGCGTGAATTCAGAATGACAAGGCACATGCTATTAAGCAGCAGCACCCCACTTAGCATTGTCATGATGGCTGCCCAGGTGCTGTAATGCAGAGTCTGTATGAATGACATAATCGGCTTCTGTGTGTGTGTGTGTGTGTGTGTGTGTGTGTGTGTGTGTGTGTGTGTACCGCTGGTACACTAAAACAAACAAGCCATACGATAAGCAATACAATAAGAGCCCTGACTCAACAGTCTATTGAGATATGCCCCGTGTCCGTGTCAACAGACGCTGCAGAAATCAAACAGGTGAGTTGAATTATTCTGAATGTCAAATCTCACAGTGATTCAGTGCCAGCAGATGCACCGGGCCTCAGGTCTGCACACAGTCAAGTTCAAATCACCAGCTCAGGCCCAGCTGCTGTTGATGATGTATCCGTTTAGTGACCTCGCATCATTTACCTGTTAATACCCACTGCCATGCTTTCTGCATCAACTAGTTCTACACTTAGTAAGATCACGGCCAGTAGAAGTGAAATCTAAACATTCAAGAGACCAGGGTCTGGAACGCCTAGATTTCCATTCTGAGTGACCACTTCAGGTAGGATGTTGTTGTTGTTCATAGGGGTGGAGGTGAGACTGTTGTTCTCCCGTGCCAACATGTAGGCGGCCATAGTCTCTGCAGACTCTGATGATGGCAAAAAGGAGCTGGGTGGGGACGGACGTGCCCCCTGGGAGGGATGCTGCCCCTCTACGGCATCACTTGAGCGTTTGGACGAGTCGTTGTCCGAGTCGAGGTGTGCGAGCTTTTCCATCCAGATGCGGAAGCGCTCCTCAGTCTGGCGCTGCATCACGGCAAATCGCGTCATGGCCTCCTCCAGAACGCTGCCGATGCCGTTCCTGTCCCACGAACTGGTGTCCAGCAGCCCATGAATCTGGGCGCCCACTCTGGATCTCTCCGATGCACGTCTGAAGCCAGCTTTAAAGACATTGAGGCCAAGCCATAAGAAAATACAGTAGCACTTTCATGCTTCGGAGGTGGACTTTTGTATTAAAGAGAAAAATGACAGTTTGTTTTTGGTTACGTGCAGATCAACTCTTTCATGCTGATGGACTACATCATGCAGTTGAAGCACTCAAATCTGTGTGCGGGATGTAAAAATGGTTGAAAACATTTCATGTAGTACGGATCCCTAAAGGAAAATAACTGGGCTGTCTCAGGCGACTCATTCAGTGACCGTTTGGAAAATGTGTTAACTGGAGAGACTTTGAGGTTAGAAACACCCATTGGAGGGAAAGTCATTACAAACCTATCATGAAGGGCAACATACATGTCTAACAATATTTTCTTTGAAATAAATATGCGTCAGGGTATATGCCAAAATAGGCTCCTTGTAAAACACCTCCATGGTGCTCCTGACAAAAATCCAAGAATAGATAAACTAGTTCCAGTGTGGAAACACAGTAAGTGACCTAAACGATCATTTGACACCTCACCAGCTAAATTCTGAAGTTCACAGAAAAGAAAAACTGCCTACCAGAGCAAACCCAAAAGGTTTTGTTCTAGGAAATGCAATCACAGTGAAAAGATCAGCCTGAAGTTAACGAAGTGACTTCAACAGCAGCAGCGAGCCTTTGAATACCACCCAGTTAGTAACTACTTACTCAACTCACCCGAGAGATTTCTACAGCCATCAGGAAACATTAGATTAACTAAAGGAACAAACACAGGGCCAATAATGTCAGTGTTTACTCGTATTATACACTTCTGTGCCTGAGTTAAGTTTTTAGCATACAGACATTCTCAGTCAGAGCTGTATGCCTTAGTGTTTTCTGGACACAAGAGTTATGTGACTTGTCAAGGTGCCACAGCACCCATTATAAAGAAGAGAACCACCTGTTGGCAATTCTAAAAAGCTTCCTGTGTAGAGTGACAAGTACGATAGACCTAAGGAATATTCAAAAGCAGCAGGAAAGCAGGATATAGGCTACTAAATGTCTAGTAGTCTTTGGGTGCTATAGATATAAATCTTTTAACTTGACTCTTGAGCATTCTAATAAAATGGCACATAAAATATGACTTTGAGTCTATATTCCTACCAGCACACCAACACTGAGCAGAAACTGCAGAGTCCTGCAACTCAGACTAACACAGTGCGATCATACACGATTCATTGTCTATTTACAGCAAAGGCTGAGGATATAAATGGCTCACTTGTTGAATGGCAGAGCTTGTAATATAGGTTAGATTAACACAACTCCGTTTGTATCGTTACATGAGTTGAAGAATGTCAACTAGACTTCCACAGCATGCAAACGATGAGACAAAGCTCCAACTAAACATGTACTGTATTACTACAAGTGACTGGACACAGGCCCTCCTAAACACACAATCTAAGTATCTAAAAACAGGGTGAATGAAGACAGATGATGAGTGAGAAAATAACCAAAGAAATAAGAGAACGTGATGATCAAACAAACACAAACAAAGCAGTGCTTGTACTGATCTGATATTCCAAAGGCTTTGTACAGCCCTACATGTCCTTACTGTATGTGGCAAGTGTACAATTTGGTTGGGTTGCCTGAAAGTTTTAAGTTACGCAGGCAGCCTCTACTTGTCAAGTGCTCTATGGTTGAGTCTGATGGCTAGTCATCTTTGGTAGTCATACACTGCAGGCCTATGTTTTTCTGTTGCTATGTGAGACAGTGTTTTACATGGGTTATCTAAGTGGCTGCTACTGTCACCCTGTACTGCTACACAGTGGTAGTAGTATTGTGCTATAGGCATGTGTTGTGAACATTGGATGTTACCTGAAATATCTGTCTTGATTGTCTTGCTACCTCCTGAAGTGTCATCGTCGTCGTCCTCAGAGGAGCTGGTGCTGGAGTCACATGTGAGCTCGCTGTCACTCGTACTGCTGTCCTGCAGCAGGTTATATTTCTTCCGTGCTGCCGCCTCCCGTTTTTGCCTCAGCAAACGCATCCGCTCCTTGTGTTTCTGGCTCCGGTGACCTTTCACTTTTGCCAGCTTGCCATTGGTTTGTTTCTCCTGCCCTCCAGCTGCTACCAAGGTGGGCTGACAGCGGTTTTTCTTTGCAGCCATTGCATTGGGCGGCATCTCACTCTCCGATCGTGACCGCCGAGATTTTCTGCCCCCTGTAGCGGTGGCAGATGATTGCCTTCCTGCTGCCTGCCCAGGATCATTTGAGGCTTCCATGTTGCCATCTTCCTCCTTTCCTGCGGGAGGAGCAGCACCTTCTTCCCCTGAGGAGAGTGTGTCTGAGTCAGCAAGGTGGCCACTGGATGATGGGGAAAGCATGCAGGGGTTTGAGGAGTCACTTTCATAGATATGACGAGATACAGGCTTGTCACTCCCTGTGGAGGCATGCTGGGACTCTGGGGAGTCTCGGCGGAGCTCCTTCATCAGGCATGGCATGGAGAGGAGACTCTGCTCGCCCTCTGTATTCAAGGGACTGTCTGCCTCCTTCTCCCTCGGTGGTGAGCTGGTACTGGTGGTGGTCTCCGTTTTCAGATGCTCATCCTGCTCTCCCTGAGCAGAGCCTGTAGCTGATTGTGCTTCATCAAGGCACTCTGGGGGGTACTCAGCATACACTAATTCCTCTGCCTTCTCTGAGTCAGCCATCTTCATGCTAGTTGAGCCCAGAGCCCAAAGGTCCAACAAACATGGACCAATGTGCCTGGACAGGAGCTCACCTGCTGGAAGAAAAACACATCACTAATTCCATTTCAAAGGCTTAGTCTGTGCATCAGTGCAAAAGGGCTGGGTATCTGACAGCATAGGCAATAACTAAAGGCAATTTTACACACTGTGGAAATTCAGTAATATTATTATAGTGGCATCAAAATGAAATATTTCTCATTAAACATATAATGTTAGCTCTCCTGTTCAACTTTACTGGTTTACAACAGTAGCATATTCAAGGTACTTCTCCTCCTTCAATGACTTGGATAAAAATGCAGCTTTAAACTTATTCTGTACATTTTGTACTGGATTAACATGTTGCATAACCACTGACTGTTCACATACCAAAAACAACAAATAATCTAATGTAATTTTTAGCAGCAATTTGGCCATAAATTCCCACTACCGATATAACTGGTAAGAAATTTACGTTAGTTAGCTTATGAGTGCGATGAACGCTACTTTTACTTGGGTTTTGGTGTTACCTTAACGTTACGTCTCAGACTTCTGTCTGAAAATGATTTCTTCAATGTCTATTAAACCTCCTCAACCACATTACACCAAGTCTGCGTCCAGTGAAACATTTATTGGCGGTTTGAGTTAATGGCTTTAGTTAGTTGGGTCTGTAGCTAGCTGAAGCTAGCACAGGCTCGGATCCAGACACTACTTTTAGCTGCGTAGTGAAGCTAACCTCGGTCATAACCTTACACTCCGCAAACTTGGCGAGAACAAGACCACAAGTCATGGGAAAATGTTCCGGTTGCAGGACAGCTGCCTCACAAGATCCTATAAATGGAAGCAGTATCTACCCATCCAGAGGCGTAACAGACAGGATAATGTCAGCAGCTACGGGCTAACGTTATCTCAGTCGAGGAGGTAGCCGACTAGCATTTAAAATCGGCTGCGCTCTGCACAACTTACCGCGGTGTTAGTTATATTCCTCTTTTCCCAGTGTCAGACTTTTCAACATCTTCGGTAATTTGTAGCGTCTTTGATTTACAATGCATAAACGATGCACTGCTAGATATACTTCACTACTTTACAACTTGGAAGTATTTGAACGTGTTTTGGCGCAGTGCGCTCGCACCTTCGCGAGCCCTGTTAGCCTTTAGCGGTTAGCTGTATGTTTATTTTAAAATGTCTCCATCAGCCGTCCGTCTTTCACAAAGCTACATGCGCCACTTCCGGTCTCATCCACTCAGTCGAGCACCCCTGTGGGCCGGATATTAGTACTACAGGAGGGCCAAATACGGCATGACGAGCATGGACAGAGGGACAGAGCAATAGTTTGGATGTAAACCAGGGTGCCCACAGAAATGCCACGATAATTTCCCCCACATAACAGTAATAACTCTAAGAAAAGGTCACTTAACTTAAGTATATATATCTTATGCTACCGTATTTTTCGACTCCATTATCTTTCAGAGGGAAATATACCTTTTACCCAATGCAAGGTCTTCCAGCAAAGCTGGAAGCTTATTAGCAATGAAAATTAGCCTCAGGCTCCATCCAACAATGTTGATTAAATATCTGTGAAAAAAAGAAAATCAAGTATTAACAAGGTCTGAATAGCATATCAGTTTTTCAACAACAACAACAACAACAACAACAACAACAAAAAAATACCAATAGTCATCTCAGGAGACTTGCCAGTGGTCCATGACTCTAAATTTAAGAATATTAAATTGAAATCTGTCTGGAATTTCTACAAGAAATGTTGTGTCACCAACAAAATCAGAGAAGTCTCATTAAAATCATACATTTGATTCAGAGATGATGTTGATGGAAATGTATGTTTTGTAATTATGATAGTGAAACTCACTTATTTTATTGATGTCTATGTGTAAAATGATTTTGGATAGATTTAAAACATTTCTGTAAGACGCTGACTGGTTCAAGCATAAACATATATACAGGTTCAAGTATTTATTTCGAACAAAAGACTTTTTTTTAATAAAAAAAGATTCTGAACCTCTTTATTTTGTTTTTTTTTTTTTATAAAAAATTAAATTCACAAATGCAAATGAACTAAAACGATACCCCACATAAAACAACTGAAAATATAAATAAGACAGTGTATTGAAACATCATATAAATTGAAGAATATTAAAGCAATGAAAACAACAGAATTTTGCAAAGCCTTAAATGTTTTTTCTTCTTTTCTGTCTTTGTTGCTATTTTGTTTGTTTTGTCCTTTTAAAAAAAATGTATGAGTATATTTCTTTAAGACATGGATTGAGTATGAAAAAAATGTCATAGTGGTTTCCGTTGAAATATAGGCTAAAATATAAACATTAATAAAATATTTTTTAAAAGTCAAAGTATTTGTCATTTTTTACTAAAAGTAAATGTTATTTTAAAAACTGAAGATAAAAAGAGAAACAAAGTTTATTTCGAAGTACTTCCGGGTCACTGTGACCTTTCTACAAAGCGGTTGCCGTGTCCGCCATCCTTCTCTCTCCGCTCCGGGAGCAGGATAGACCCCGCAGGACACCAACATGCTGTCAGTACGCGTCGCAGCGGCTCTTGCCCGCACTCTGCCTCGACGGGCTGGATTTGTAAGCAACTCTAACTTAATTTGTGATAAGATTTATGTCGACTTCCTCCAGAAAAGCCCGAGTTTATTCAGATATAAAAGTCATGGCGGTGTTGTGCATGCACACGTCTTTGCACTGGAGGACACCGGGCCCTTCACTTTGCTGGTTCTCACTGTGAACTTCAGTAGCTGACAGAGACATAGCACAAAGCTGCTCACAAGCTAGTGCAGTAATATTACATTAGTAAGGCTGACTAGCCGATATTATTAATTTCTTAGCTTTGTCTTAGGTTGTTGTACACTATCAATGGATATGACTAAGCTAAAGTGAAGTAATGATGGATGTAATCTGGTACTGAAGGTCAGGTTTGTCTCACTTTAGCTTCAGTTGCGCCTGCTAGCTTTCACTGTAAATGCATTTACCAAGCTATAGTTTGCAAAGCTGGAGTAATTCAGGGTGACATTAGGCTGGACATAATACTGCTCTGGCTAGTAGCTGTAACTGGCGTGGACTGTCCTGTGACCCTGCAGACTGTATGACCTGGGGCCCTTCTCAAATGTATTCATATATCACATTTTTAGCTGTTAATAGTAAATTACAATTAAATGTGAGTGGTAATTACTCATATCAACTCTATATTTTGATTAAGTGCAGTGTGCGTCTCATGAACTGAATTCCATCTAGTAACAGAGCCATGCATATCTGTTTCTCTGAAAAAAATAAATACTTGGGTGATGTTGAAAAACCCAAAGCATTGTTCAGCAACATTATTTGCTGTTCTAAAGGACTTTCCAAAATCTTCAGACTCATTTGAATGAAAAAGTCAGCTGCACAATGAAAACATGTTATAACCTCTTCCCTAAGTTGCAGCTGTTTCCTATCCAGATAGTCCGTAATGACTTGTGTCCTAAATAATTCTGCATTATTTTGTATTAAAGTTTGAAATAATAGTAGCATCGATTTGGGCAAATATATGTCATAATATTACTAATACATTTTGGTCCATGTTGTGCTGATTAGGCAAATACATAATTTATGGTTCCCATTTTTGTTTAGAATAAGAAACCAATCTATTCTCAGATTTTTTTAAACATGGCAGAATACAGAGTGAGTGTATTGGTAATACACAAAAGGCCCAAATTGGGGGCTATAATTGAGCTAGCTTTCTTAGCAGTTTGACAAAATCACTGGGAAAGTTAGTGACAAATTTTTACCATGTTATATTTTCTTCTCTTTGCTGTGTTTCAGCATTTTTAAGTTGTCAGTGTTGACACAGACATGTTAAACTCACAGTTTCAACATAAATTGAACCTTATAGCCATCATGAAATAAAGATTTGTTGCAGGGCTGTTAGATTGCATTAATTTGAGCTGGGTGGGCCTAATAAATTTGCGACTGTTTTTATTTTTGATTTGGCTGATATAAAAAAAAAAGTTATTCAGACTGAAAATTCTGCAGGTATTTGTTCTGAGTAAAACTGATTTGTGTACTTGTCCCATTGTCTTGAAGGTATCCAAGAACGTCGCTGCAGCATGTGTAGGAGTCAAGAATCTACACACCACCCGTCCATGGCTGCAGAAAACAGGTCTGTATTTTGGGAGACCTGAATTGATCCACTGCTTAAGAAAATAATCTAATTGTCAAAGTTACCAAAATAGTCTTTTCAAGCTGTTGATTAGTTTACCTTTTATTAACATTAAAGGCACAGCCGAGGTATCATCCATTCTGGAGGAAAAGATCATGGGAGCTGACACCAGTGCTGACCTGGAGGAGACTGGTCGCGTGCTGTCCATTGGTGACGGTATTGCCAGAGTGTACGGTCTGAGGAACGTGCAGGCTGAGGAGATGGTGGAATTCTCCTCTGGTCTGAAGGTAAGACTGATGATGTAAACCTTAGAAGATGACCTTTTACTGAATGGTTTAATGCTGAAAACTTGAATTTTTGAGAAGATTGCATTCACTTATCCAGCCTTTAAATTATGAGTCGTCAGAGGTAACTGGCAAGTTAGAATCGATGTGTAGATATACTGTATTAAAGACTGTTGGACTATTAGTACAGCATATGAACTTGCTCTGGTTTCATGTATGTACTTGGCAGTTATGTCATGCTATCAGTAATTTGGCCTGTTTCCACTAAAGGGAAATGTGATAACTGTTATATCTTTTCTTATCCAGGGCATGTCTCTGAACTTGGAGCCCGACAATGTTGGTGTTGTGGTGTTTGGTAACGACAAGCTGATCAAGGAAGGCGACATTGTCAAGAGAACAGGTGCTATTGTAGATGTGCCTGTAGGTGAGGAGCTCCTGGGCCGTGTCGTCGATGCTCTAGGAAATGCTATCGATGGAAAGGTAAATGATAATATTGATAAACTGTATTTCTATAGCAGGATTAATACCCTTAAATGCTATACATAAAAGCATGTAATCGGGCTATATACAAGCAATACCAGTTGCACTTGCTGATGGCTGATCTTTTTGTTCCCCACAGGGTCCCCTTGGCTCCAGCACCCGCAGGCGTGTGGGTCTGAAGGCCCCTGGCATCATCCCCCGCATCTCTGTGAGGGAGCCAATGCAGACTGGCATCAAAGCCGTGGACAGTTTGGTCCCCATCGGTCGTGGACAGCGTGAGCTCATCATTGGAGACAGACAGACTGGGTAAGAGGGTCCTGCTCAAAGCGAATACTTGAACACATGGTAGCATTTGATGTTATTCCCAGTGCCATTGAAATGCTTTTGCAGCTTTGGAAGTGCTAATGCTGATAAGGGCTGGGGCCAAATATGCAATATATCATGACTATAGCTTATAGCACTGTGTTCTTTCAAGGGTTAATCCTTCTGATTTCTGGATGTTCAGCCTTTTGTACGTTCATAGCCGTTTTTACTGGCTTATTTTAATATGGACACATTGTGCATATTTGAAAGTAAAAATCATACTTATTGAGGTGTGTTGCATGATGTTTCATCACGACTGCCGCCTGTCTGATACTTATTCATAGTGCAGTAATCTCACTGATTGCTTTAAACTGTGCGTGTAATTATTTAAAGGTTTTAATATGCGCTTGAAGGTGGTTTTGAATGAGTTAAACCTGGAGAATATTGAGCCCCAAAGCACAAGATTAAGATTCACTTATGGCTCTGTCGGTGTATCCACGGTGCTCAGTCTTTAAATTTGTGCTGCAGCAAAACCGCAATCGCCATCGACACAATCATCAACCAGAAGCGCTTCAACGACGGCACTGATGAGAAGAAGAAGCTGTATTGCATCTACGTGGCTATCGGCCAGAAGAGGTCCACTGTGGCTCAGCTGGTGAAGAGGCTGACTGATGCCGACGCCATGAAGTACACCATCGTGGTGTCTGCCACTGCCTCTGATGCTGCTCCGCTGCAGTACCTGGCTCCCTACTCTGGCTGCTCCATGGGAGAGTACTTCAGAGACAACGGCAAGCACGCCCTGATCATCTATGACGATCTGTCCAAGCAGGTGAGTTTCATTTAATCTGATAGTTATCACAGAGAAACCAGTTGCTGTTGAGAATTTTAACAAATCGAGTTTGCAGATACCCAACAACCTTGTGTTATGTTTCGGCAGGCCGTCGCCTACCGCCAGATGTCCCTGCTGCTCCGTCGTCCCCCCGGTCGTGAGGCTTACCCAGGAGACGTCTTCTACTTGCATTCCCGTCTGCTGGAGAGAGCTGCCAAGATGAACGACAACTTTGGCGGCGGCTCCCTCACAGCTCTTCCCGTCATCGAGACACAGGCTGGTGACGTGTCAGCCTACATTCCCACTAATGTCATCTCCATCACAGACGGACAGGTGAGCGTGTGACTCCTTGACTTTTTGCATCACAGTTGAAATCCTGAACCAGCCACTAAATGCACTCTTCTCACTCAGATCTTCTTGGAGACTGAGCTGTTCTACAAAGGTATTCGTCCAGCCATCAACGTCGGTCTGTCTGTGTCACGTGTCGGATCTGCTGCCCAGACTAGGGCCATGAAGCAGGTTAGCCTTCCTTGTAAATACCCATCTCTCAGCTTTTATTGCAACTAATGTCTTTGATTCTGACCGATTGATCTTTGCTCATCACCAGGTGGCCGGTACCATGAAGCTGGAGCTGGCCCAGTACCGTGAGGTGGCTGCCTTCGCTCAGTTTGGTTCTGATCTGGATGCTGCCACCCAGCAGCTGCTGAACCGTGGTGTCCGTCTGACTGAGCTCCTTAAACAGGGACAGTACTGTGAGTATTTACATTCAGTATCAAATTCCTCGTATTAGCTCTCTCTCTTTCAGAAAATGCATCCATTCTGCAGTTGTGTTTATGTATGGTGACTGTGTGCTTTTATATTTCAGCTCCAATGGCCATTGAAGAACAGGTAACAGTCATTTATGCTGGTGTGAGGGGACACCTGGACAAAATGGAGCCTAGCAAGATCACCAAGTTCGAGAAGGCCTTCCTGCAGCACATACTGAGCCAGCACCAAGACCTGCTGGCAGCTATTAGGTAAGTGTAACAGCTTCTCGACATTTAGACTTTTGCATAGAAATGAATGTTTGGAACATACGTTGTAACCAATCTGTTCTTGATTGCAGGGCTGATGGCAAAATCTCTGAGGCATCAGACGCTAAACTCAAGCAAATTGTGTTGACTTTCCTCTCCAGCTTTGAGTAAAGTGATGCTTTCTGATCTGGTTGTTTTCGTGTTCACATAGTGCAACGTGAGTTATACTTTCTATGAACTTAAAAAAAAAAGTGGCACTTGAACTTTAATGTACAGATAACTCTTAACAGAGAATAAAATATTCCAACGAGTTGACTTGATTGCTTGTTTTTGTTATTGGGGCACTGTTGTTGGGTCACTTTCTGTTTTTAATATCTCGATGGAACACACTTTGAAGTTTCCTACTATAACACATACTGAAACCAGTGCTGATATGGTGCACAGCCATACCTGTGAACTATTCTTTCAAAATCCTGCATCTTAGTTATTGAGCAAAACAGTGGGGAGCAGATGATGGTGTGCTCCAACAACAAATCCAAAGAATTGTCTCAGCATTATTTTTTTTTTTTTTTATAACACAAGGGCCAAATCAATTCGGTGACCACTTAGTTGACCAACAAAGGGCAATTTATTCCACCAGTTCTCAACCTAGGGGCCCAACTGCCACGAGGGGTCGCCAAAGCTTCACACGGGGTTGCAAGGCCTTCTTGATTTAAAATGGTGTAAGAAAACTTTTTTAGAAGAATAAACAGTAGGCCTATATCTCAGGATTTCATTTATTTCTGTGAACAAAATTAAATGAAATTCCAAATAGGTTTAGATTATAATTCAAGGTATAAACTTAAAAGTAATCTCATGGGATAAGGGCACGGTGAAGACCTGAACATGCTATAACATGTTATATTTAGAGCATTCATTCTCTGCTTAACAGCCTTGTCCTGCATTAGAAAAGTACACAGTTAAAACAACCAAAAAGCTAGAACCATAGCCAAGTGACAGGGAAAGGAAATACTGAATTTTTCCAAAGAGAGGCCTATGAAGTATGTCTGATAATTAAAAATTCAAAAATAAATGCATGAGTATTGTATGAAATTTTTTTAAAAAAGTGTTAGTCTTACACAACTTGCGTCACTATTTTGTTTAATTGTACAGTTTATTTGTTGCTCTCTACTGTTATTGTTATGCATTAAATATAATATTAAGTATTCTGAGAGTATGTCACTTAGGTTTATTCAATGATATAAAAGTGATCACTTAAGTAAAAAGGTTGGGATCCAGTGGTTTATTCTATATCCAGCTGGAGCCACAGTGCTTTCTTCACTTCTAGTTTATTTATGACAAGCACTGTAATCAGTGTATCTCTCTTAATTCACCGCTATGTAGTCTAAGCCTGCAGCTAAGGCTCAGTATCATCAGTAGTCTCCTGCATCTCTATTTGCACTGGGGGAAAATTGTAATGTGAAACCCACAAACACTAAAACTATCATGCCCTCTGCTGGTGAAGAAGCACATGGTAGATGTCCAAATTGAAAAATCCTATTAAGATTTATTTGTAATTTAAAAATATGTTTGATAGGGTTGGACAGGCCAGTACAAACAAAATTAATCTTGCTCAAACCCCATAAATATGTTTTTTCCCCATACTGATTACTACTACTTTTAATATGTCTGCAAATTTCAATTTTCCTGTGTGACAATAATTAATTTTAATGGAAAGATAACCAAGAGGCACTTAACTAAATTATAAATTAGACTTTATTATTCACGGTGAATCAAAACATTTAAATCAAGCAGCAGTGAATGTTAATCAATGTGAATGTTTATGAAATCCAGAACTGGCTGAACAGCCTCCGTTGACATGAAACAGTGACTATAATTTAGATGAACATAAGTGAAGAAGTGCATAATATATATTTCATGATGGCATAAGTGAAGGTGCACAGTAAATATTTCACAATTTGAACAAGTTCAGTGGCAGAGTGCATTTGTATAAAAAAATTGAGTGAATTTAAACTAGTGATCATTAGTGAGACAAACTAAATAAATGACAACTCTGTGTCTTTCCAAAAAGTAAAACATACACATATAATTTAAATTAAATAAATAAGTAATAAAAATAAATAAACATTAAAACCACTGACAGCTGGAACATGTTAAACCCAGTACTGTTTGGTGTGCACTGCAGGTCTGTGGTGTTTATGTTTGGGCACATTATTCTGTTTGACATAGCAGGGGTCATAATAATCCCACTCCAGGGCTGAAGCCAGAACACCGTTGGACAGACCGTCACTGTCCGACAGAATCCGCAGGGAGACACCTGAAAAGAAAAATAAATGACATTTCCATTCATTTAAACCAACAAAAGAAGTTTTTTCTTCATACTGTTCCCGCAGTCTACTTGTCTTGATGCAGTGGTAGTATTAGTTATTGATGACAGTCATATATATTACAGTGCAGCTGAAGGAGACCAAAGCGTACCTGCACTTGCACCAAAATCGCTGTCAAGTCCAGGACCCACTGCAGATGTGTTCAGGCAGGACGCCTCTAAGGGTGGATTGATGCACTCACACTCTGTGTGTACTTTGTCAAACACGTGCACTGCAGCACCTGGGTTCACATCTGTCAGCATATCGTAAGTGCTGCTGCGACGAAGATGGCCCACATGTTCTGTCTCCTGCTGAGAACAGAGGAAAGAAATACAGACTTCACTCTTTGAATTAGGAGTTTCTGCTTCATACTGGATGTTGGATCTTAGCTCAGGGTTCCCACACATTTTCATGGACAAAATTTCCAAACTTTTCCATGACTTTTCAAGGATCCATAATGTAGCATTTTCTGTTTCTTGCATCACTTGCCCAGCATTTTAGAAACATACCAGATTCAAACTCTATTCAAACATAATTTCAGCTAGCTGGCATACAGGAAGGGAGAGATGAACCCAGGGAGAAAATGACAAAATGTATGCAATGGTAAACAAAGCATCACAGATTGACACATACAGTATTAGAGCTATGTTATGTCCAAAGCTACAGAAAATTAATTTCCCCTTATGTTACATTACATTGAAGGTTATCCATAGATTACTGTAACGTTTAATTAAACAACAAAATTCCATGCCTTTTCCAAAACTTTCAATAAATTAGACCCATTCAATGACTATCCCAGGCCTGGAAAATGTGATGACTATGGGAACCCAGCTGGATGGACATGCATTTGTGTTATTTTTAAAGTAATCATCTTACAATTTTGTACAGATTTCTTGCTCACTACTCTTTTTGCTGATTATTGTAACACGATGTTGCTTTAATCTGTCCTGTTTGTCTGGAATAAACCAAATAAGATGGGTGGGGGAGTTAGTATAAGTAGTGACAGCCAACAGCAGACCTCCAGAGGCCCTCAAAAATCCCAACGTTACTGTGTGGCAATTGTGGTAGTTTTATGGACTCTGACTTTGTTTGGTAATATGGGAACATGCGGCACTAAAGCAAATATTACCTGACACAATAGGGCCCTAAAAGTGGGTTCTGCTTTATTAGCTGATTTTAAGGCCCGATGAGAAAATCTACTTGTAACACCTTAACTATTTTACCTCAAATTTACCTCAAATTACCACACAGGAAACCTGGGGCCAGATATTATTCCAGGAATACTGTAGACAAAATGCTCAATATTAGATATGTTTACTGAGGCAAATGAAGCATTCTGTTCGTACTCTGGATTCCTTCATATTTCGTCGATATTTGCATGTTGTTTTCTGAAGGTCTATGGATACAGATGAAATACAGCAGTACCGCCAGAGATCCTGGGCGCAGTGTAGGTTATTTCAAGCAAGATACGACCGTAGCAGACAACGAAAACGTTTAAAATTCGGTGAAACAGAACAAATCTGTAATGTAGTGAAAAGAATTCTTCGTCCACATGCCGTGATGTATAATGGCCTCACAGACCACCATCGTCTACAACAATGCCTCCACTGAAAGGTACAATATTAGACCAGGTCTATCGTCACCAGGAACTTTTGACTCTCCCTTCTTGTGCCATCTATAAGCTGTATTTATGACATCATAAAGGATGCCTGGAAGTGTGAGTGAAGTGATGTTTACAACGTTTGAAAAAGAGGTACATAGTTTAGTAAGCAAAGGGAGGATAAATGAGAGATAACAGGGTGTTTAAGAGGGGCCCAGTGGCTCATTTTTGCCCTGGGGCCCCAAGGCAAGTTAATCCGGCCATGCTGTTTGAGTAGAATCACTAGAATCTGGCATCACTGGCCAAAGGCATTGTTAAAATGTGAATATTGGTGTTATTGGATAAGGTGTATGTTTAGTCCATGTTTCCTGCAGATGTTCTTGAATTAATATCCACTAATTAGTCAATCTCTACTACTTTATAATAACTTCCCAATGTCTCAGGACTCATTGGGACCCTGCCTTATTTAGAGTTATGTACAACCACAGTGGACCACTCACCGTTGGAGAGTTTGGCGGAACAAGGTTCACCCTGATTTCAGCCTCTGAGTCACTGGACTGCGGTAAAACTGGTGCGCTTTTACACCATCCCGTTTTACTGATGCTGCATGTCCGTGACCCGGAGGGCAGGTCGAGTCTCGAGGTGAACCCAGCCGCAGACGGGGTGGCCCGGATGGTGCTCGGCGCCCTCAGGGACCCTAAGCCGGTGGCGCCATCTGGCCTCAGGAGCCGGTTTCTGTGATCCACCCCGGCCCTCTCCCTGGATGAAGCCCTGGAGGAGGTGACAGGATGGGGCAGGACGGGCTCCGATACAGACATGTAGGCTCTCCTCCCGTCCTGCAGCGAGGGGAAAACCACATCGGATACTCTTCTGACTCTCTGCAGGGTGGACTGCAAAAGCATCTCCTCTGCGTCCTCTCGCTCCTGCCTGTTGCTCTTCTTCTTTGACAGGATCAGTAACTTGTAAACCAGGAAGAAACAGTTCAGCAGGAGCAGAATGACCACACAGGGTATGAGCAAAAGGACCACTAAGGTCAGATTTGTCACGGGGTAACCTTCTGTCAGGTTTGAAGGTGTGGTCTGACTTGTTTGCGACATTTCATTCCAGAGGACATGAAGGGTGAATTTTAGAGAGTCGCTGATCTCAACTGAGATTGCACGTCGTCTCTGAACGCACAGGTGGTTTGGTGTGTCAATCAATGTGGACTGTTTGAAAGTATTTTTGATCCAGCAGAAACATGCCAGCCTTCTTCTCAAATGCATGCAGTCTCCAAGTGGGAACAAAGTGTTTCATCTCTCTTGTCTTCATCATTATAGACTAACGCTGTCACTGTTAACAAAGCAAAGGCTTGATCTGAGACGACTATGCAACCCACTCTCAGTTGGCAGCCACATGAATTACAGATCAACAGGTGTGCCCTATTATGTGCAGGATGCTTGGCGCTGTCATGGCAAAGATTGGCCGCTAGATGGCAGCACGAGGTGGACTCCTGCTTCACTGCATCTGAAAGTGCTGCAGTGATCATATTCATGCTCTGAACTGTGATTTTATGGACTTCAGTGTTGCTGAGGACTCTTGTAGTCCACTTATACAGGCACACTGGACATTTGTCACAAAGAAGAGCAGAGAACAGAAGTCAAATTGTGTTTTTTTTTTAATTTATTTTTCATGCTTCCAAACATTTCTATATCAGGTAATAATCATACACCAACTGCTGGCTACTCGCAGAATATATACAGTCATTTTCAAATAATTCAATAGAACATTTGACAGATGAGTCTCTCTTAGAGACAATATGTTTGCATTTTGTACACAAAGTAGATCCTTGTACACAAGTATATATGCTATTGTAATAAATCAATGCAAAAGATCGGTCATATGAGCACCATATAACTATAATAAAGTTTTTTCTTCTTCTACCATTCAGGTTTAAGGAAGTCTATACAGACTTGAATAGCACACTGATATCCTGCTAAAGGCTTGCAAGTATAACAGTACAGATAACGCTTTTATTCAAGATAAAGGCTATTGAGTCAATGGACGCCCTCAGATACCAAAGACCCCATTCATCACTTCTACACTCACTGCTCAGATGGCATCGTAGGTGTTGTGCGTCGTGCCTGCAGAAAGTCACCTCCTCGCTGAACAACAACTCACTTAAGCGCTGCTTGCCTTTCCCAAACACAATAAGAGGTTGTGATTGGTTGTGATAATTAGCACCTCAGGCAAGGCTGTGTTTGTGAATTGATAACAACATACACACATGGTGAAGCTGTGTCAAATCAGGTCAGTGAATGAAAGCAGACTAGCACTGTGCCAGGCTGTGCTTGATGATCTCGCGGGACTGCGGTGGGATCCTGTCAGGGAAGAGCACCTGGAACTCCACCACCAAGTCGCCTCGCTGAGATGGGCTCTTGGGCAGGGGCAGGCCTTCGCCCCTCAGCCGCCGGACAGCGCCTGGCTTGATAACATCGCTGCATGGTAGAGGCATCATCCGGTTGTCAAGTGTTGGGACATTAACTGTGCAGCCACAGAGAGCCTGGTGAGACAAAAGGAAGAGAAAAGTTAGTTTTGTTGACTTGTTATATTTAGAGCATGTTTCATAATGCTTCCTGAGTGGCCTTGTTATGACTGGTGTGAAGCACATTTGGATCATAAGAAAAAAATCAATTAAATGCCTGATATTTAAATGTGTCAAGTTGCATAACAGATAAATATAGAGTGTCTGTCTTTCAAAAAGCATAAAGATTTTCTGTGTTATGCAACAAGCCGGTGTTACAGATGTTATAATCGCTGCCCTATTTGCAGGCACTGTGTGGGAGTTAAATGCTTCAGTGACTGAAGGGAGCCATAGGAAGATGGAGGGGGCTCTTTGAAATGCCACTCTCTGTGACTGCTACCCTGCTAATCTGTGCGTGGGTCGGTTGAAGTGAGAGCCAGAGACGCAGCCTGCCAAAAAAGCGGCCTCTCTGCCTGCCATGTAGAGGCAGAGGAGTCTGCGGCACACATCGTAGCTGAGAGAAGCAGAGTGAAGTGTGATTCGTGGGGGCAGTCAGCACTGTGGCTAAATTTAGCTCCTGCTCTCTCTCGCTCTGCAGGGGCCGATGAGGTAACGAAGGCGTTGGCAGGCTGCTGCTGCTGTTCTGTTAGCGGGGGTCTGTCAGCCCATTGTAAGCTGGGGGCTCAGATGCTCGCAGCAGAACACCGTGTTCTGTCCTGACACTAAAATCAAAAATATCACCTTCTCTGGATTTGGCAGAGATCGAACCTTCTGTCTTATTGATGCCCTTCTGTAATCAATTGTTTTTGGTATTTCAGAAGATGCATCATTCTATGGTTACATAAAGGATAAGAAGTGGTGGATGGATGAACACCTTTCTCTGAGTAGGTGTGAGGTGTTGGCAATTACATAGTATATCTACTTATAAACCTGTGACGTGTTTCATAATAAATTTAGGTGTGATGGCCCTAGTAGGAGTCAAACACCAGACCTTTGAGCCTGACATCAGTGCACTGAACTCACCTCCTTGAGGGTGATCTGGGCCGTGAAGACGATGTTGGAGCCTTCTCTCTTGTACTGCGAGTGCTCCTGGTCCCTGAGAATGAAGGTGATGTCTGCGGGGGTGTTGTTGGGCGTCTCGTCTCCCTCCCTGGGGAAGGTGATCTTGGTCCCCGCTTTCCAGCCCTTCTTCACCACCACATTTAGCACTTTCTCCTCGGTTCGCACGCTGCGGCCGTCAGGGTTGAGGCGGCTGCGGGTGATCTTCACGTGCTTCGTGCAGCCTTGCATCACCTCCTCTAGGGTCACCAGCAGATCGTGCACCACCTCGTCGCCCTGCAGCCGCCGCTGGCCCCTTCGCAGCCCGCCCTCGCCGCCGGAGAACCCGCCCACGTGGCTGAAGGGGAACCTTCTAAAGGGGTTGAAGAGGTCATCTTCGGCATCGTTGTCGTTGCTGAAGAAGATGTCGAAGTGGTCGGAGCCGTGGAAGAAGGAGGAGAAGGTGGCGTGGGGGTCAGTGTGGAAGTTATTGCGAAACACGCTGCCTTGGCAGGCCATTGACATTCCATTTTTAAGACCTAAAAACACAGACAGAAACAGAAAAAGTTAATTTAAATTCATTAAAACCCGCAGCTTTACACAGTGATTCATTCTTATTCTAATATTGGTGCTTGTTTCATGCAAAGTCTGCCTCTCTCTCCAGAAGGTTTCCCAAACATCTGCTATTTAGGAGTTTTCAGGAAAACTCTAAGGTTGCTGAATAATTCATCAGCCCTGCAGCTGTCTATGCCGCACATATTTAGCAGCTTTAATAAGTGTGGAAGTGTTTCAGTCATGATCCTCCCACTGCACATCAGTATTTAGCCTTAATGAAGACATGAATAGTCAATGCACCCGCCTGTGCGACAGTAATTAACCAGATGTCAGTCACAGTTTGCGCCATTTAACTCCTGTCATTAAAATCTCACCTTCTTCTCCAAACTGGTCGTAGATGCTTCTCTTTTTGGGGTCGGTCAGGATCTCGTAGGCCTCTGCGATCTCTTTGAACTTGTCCTCTGCGTCCGCATCGCTGTTCTTGTCTGGGTGGAACTTGAGAGCCATCTTCCTGTAGGCCTTCTTGATCTCGTCTTCGTTGGAATCAGGGGAGACACCCAGGACTTTGTAGAAGTCCTTGCCTGTGGGTTTGATGGCCAGGCAGGGCGTGTCCTGCTCGGACTTGGTGCCTTCCTGTGGACACAAGGACAATCAGACATTAGATCATTTACTTATCATATCTCCACTCCAAAAAAAAAACCTCTTCAAAGAATGCACTTTTTATGAACTCGAATGGTGCATGCTGCAAGAAGGCTGATGATGAATAAGTCATGAGGGTGTAAATTTAAATATTTATCCACCACACTACACTACAAAGCAGGAAGGTTCATGTATTGGACATGCTCCACACTAGCTGCTGCACATATTTATTAATATGCAAGAAAATTACCCCTCCAGCAAAGACACTCCCTGGGAAAACACCCTTATGTCTGTGTTGCTGTGCAGCTGCATATCCATAGATTTTACAGGCTGGTGCACAATACAACGTGAGAGAGAGTGAGAGAGAGAGAGAGAGAGAGAGAGAGAGAGAGAGAGAGGAGGGGAGTCGTGAGAGGCAAAAGATTTCCCCCAACGACCGAGATGCTCTGCAGCGATTGGCTGAGCGTGAATCGGCGACTATTGCATTTTGAATGGATCCACAGCAACAGACATATAGTCAGTGATACTGAGGGATGTCCACTACATGAAAGATTTTTTAAAACCAAATATTTTCTAATATAATGCAGGTCTACACTGTATGAAATTTAATAATTCTAGCAGTGTATTTAACATAATATCATTTGAATATCTGATGATTTACTTAGTGAAAAGACAAACATTTTTAAAAAAAAATACATTAATAAAAAAGGTACTCACCGCTGATGATGATGAGCCTGAGCTGTCACCTCTGTGCATAACCCGCACTTTGCACTTGACATTGACATTTTTGTGCTTCACACCGAACTGAGTCCAGATGAGAACCATGATGGCTGGTAAAAAGTAGTTTGCTTTAGGGCTACAAGTGTCGCTGTCCAGGTGCTGAAACCGCGCCGGTTTGTCGAGCTACTGCTTCGTCCTGTCTGAGCTCTCCTCGGCTCTCTGTTAAATACCACCGCGGCAGCTCCGTTACTATCCACTCACCCACCCACGCAGCGGTGAGCGAGCTTTCCCCGGATCCGCCCATTTCCTCACGCGCGGCAGGGGATGCCGGTGTCCTCAGATTGCACGGTGCAACGCCATTGGTGCTCGGGCGATGATCACGCGGATGTTGCAGCCTCCTTCTCCATCTCTAGACTTACTTCCGGAGTTCTTGAAAGCAGAGCCGAGCAGACAGTCACGACTCAGTACAGAGAGTGCTTTTTTTTTCTCTGTCTCTTCACAGACTGAACAGAACAACCAGACATGCAGTTAAAACATCCTGCTGTCTGCCCAGACTCAGTCCAGACAGTCACCTGCTCACTGATGGAGCCCCTGTCCTCAGATAACTTTTTATGTCCATTTTGTCTGAGCCCACGCGTCTGAAATATTAATGCTATATAATTTTGCTGTGGGTGACAGGATGCAGATGATTGAACAAATGTCTCTCATTTTAGTGGAGTATTTCAGGACAGCTATTTTAAGTAGCCAATAGATCTGCAGTGGCACAAACACTTTCATGTGAAGGACCACACTCAGGTTTAGTCATGAGGTTGACACAATGAAACAAACGCCTATACAGCTTAATGCAAATAAATCAAAAATAGCACCAGCAGTGCTGGAAGGAGTGGGCTATTCAGATCTTTTATTTAAAAGATTATAAGGTGAAGTCC